TATCTCACTGGTTGCAAATTTTTCAAGTGCTTTCGCCTGAACTGTTCCTTTTGGAAGCTTGTTCCAGTCCCTGATTCTCTTTGGCAAGAATGAGCAGCTCCTGTACTGGCTTCTTGCTGGTATGAGCCGCAACTGCCAGTCATGGCCTTGTCGCTGTCTATGAGGGAGATGGATGAGTTTCTGTTTAATGCTGGAGCAGTGGACCAGCCCATTATTTATCTTGTACATCATGGAGAGCCTGGATAGTTTTCGTCGTACTTTCAACAGTGACCAGCCCAGTGTTTCCTGCATGCTGCCAATAAAAGAGGTATTCCTGTAGCGGTTCAGGTTAAAACGTGCTGCCCGTGGCTGGACCGCCTCCAACCTATTGATGCTCTTCTGGATAAATGGGTGCCAGACTGAAGATGTGTAATCTAAAAGCGGCACGACAAAGGCTTTACAGACCAGAGTTGCTGATCTTTAGATTTTGCATTATAGCACTGAGCTTGGGGAAACCCTGACATAACAGACAAAGGAGGAGCTTGTACCGTCCACCACTATTGCCTGGTATCAGTTGCTGAGGAAGCTAGAGATCAATGTCTTAGTAGTGCCTTGAATAGCCGTTGTCATTCCTCCAACAGTGTAGCCGATCTTTATAGATCCATGTATTAGTAGTGCCTTAGACAGTCGTTGTCATTCCTCCAACAGTGATCAGACAGTGTTTATCTTTTTACCTATCCATAATGACATTAATTAATGAGCCCCCGCCCCCTGCCAAGAGGCTACCAAAATATCTACTGAGCAGATACAATATATAAAATTGGCACCTCACTCATGAAAGGTTGCAGACCACAGAACTAGGCAAGGTCAGAAAGACCATGAAAAAGTATGTTTTTTGGTCCCGGCTACTGATAATTTCTTTCACAGGTTTACTTTCACTATAAAAGATTCAAACATCAAGAGTATGATCTTTTGTCTTCAACAATAAAGATGATATAAAAACTATAAACTATAACACACACTTTTTCTCCCCGAAAATAGGGGGCAAATCATGTGTGCGTGTTATATGCCGATAAATACGATAGTTGATGTTACATTTTGGCAAACAACTCAGCTGTAGAATAACGATGTTAATATTAATGATCTTGATTTAATTATTATACATTCACTTTACAACAAGATAGGCGTAACTTAATATTTTTAAACTCCTAAGCAGTAGTTGAAAATTCAATTGATTTTAGGAATGACACATGAAATTTTTTCTATATTCCCTAATAATATAATAATCATAATGATCCCCAGTTCTGTCACTGCTGTCTCTTTCAATTCCAATGCAAGTGCTGGAATACATATGATAACAATGTAGCCTACCTACATATATGGAACACAATGTCAAAGACACAACTACCTCAGATTGGATTATGAAACCCAAATAAAAGTCATCTATGAATATAACTAAAAATTTGCCATTTTTGAAAATGATCACTGCACCAACAATTGCATGCCCCACCCCTTTGCCAGGAAGCAGTAATTTGTGACTCAACAATGATTACAGTAAGAGATCCCAATCTATATAAACTCATATTTACTTTGGTAAAAAAAATGTTTGTCATACAATTTAATTTAACAAAAATGACCATCAAATTGAGGAAGAAAAAAAAAAAACGATCAGCCTATTCTTTTTACCACTAATAATCTTTTCTTTTCACACAAAACCAGAACTAACCTTCCCTGTCCCCAAAATACCACTGATAATTTAGTGTAAGGATTAAATGATACTCAAATGCGTGAAAGACAAATAAGTCTAACTGAACTGAGTTAAGAATTGTGCAACCAATATGCAAATGGATAATGGTGAATAAATAAAAATGTATAAACAAATTACTATATTCTTTATCAAACTACTAATGTAATGCTTTTTTCAAAAAATTTCAATTATGATTAATATAGCTGCTTGTCAAGTGAAGAGGAGACATGAACAAGGGATTATAAACAACTGGATTTCTTCAAGTTTTTCAAAATGACGGATACTGGTAGCTCACTATTTATCTTTTTATAATATTAGTATGTTATAGGCCTACCAAAATTTGAGGAAAAATAAAAACAAAATCATTGGTTTTTTTAGCCCTAATAAATATTTTGGCAATCCTCCAAATGTGATCAACAACTTCAAGTACTGTTCAAAAATATGTTTTTATGGCAGCACACAAGTAGCTTGGAAACAGACCATGATGCGTTTCATCTTATTGAACTTCAAAACAATTGTGCCACTCAATTTGTAAAAAGTTGTAGTTTACAATGCTGTCCCAACTTTAAATGCTTTAAAAAAGCATGACATGCTTGCATTTAACTTCTTAAACCCAATAGAATATCATGAAAATATTCTGCGTGATAGGCCCAAAATTAGAAAAAAATGACCTGGTTCGTACACTGCATGTATCATTGCACAGACTGTATTTCTATGGGTAACCATCAGGTGACTCGACCCCTCTAACTTAAGACATGGGCATTGACATGAGACAGTGTTCAGCAAATCACACTAACCATAGCATGCTGTCACGCAAAGCCTTTGGCGTTGTGTCACACTGATAACAGTGTTGGAAGTTTGTAGAATATCCCTAGCAAAACATTATCATTATGTCATTATTTGCAATATAATATATAATTTGCAAAAGTATTGCTTATTAAATATTATTAAAAGCAATTAGTCTGCAACATAACTCCATTTATTCAGAATCATAGACATAAAAAAATTACATAACCATTTAATATTTATTGGGGCCGTCAGTCACTTTCGAAAGAAAAGCATACTGTTTGAAATTTGGGATAGGCCTTCAGAGAACTGCCAATATTTTTTGTAAATAAAAATTTCAACAGCCTAGGCCCTACAGAACAAATCAAGTACTACAATAAGGCCAACTCACTGTAACAGAGAAAGAAATAAAGAGTAAATTTTTTTTTTTATTTTACTTTTTAATTCCAACATCAGATGGCAACCGGAACACTACCAACTCATTAACAAATCTGAGGTTAAATTGGGAATAAGTCTACATAATTTATATAGTCAATAGTCTAAACTTATTAACTCTTAAGCTTGGGCCTACTGATTATAGTGCCCATTGAATACTTAGCAATACTTAGTTGTTTGGTTCAGACAATATCAATGAGGTCCAAACCAATCTATGATTCCAAACACTGACAGAACATTCCAACTTAAATCTATTACATAACCATTTAATATTTATTGGGGCCGTCAGTCACTTTCGAAAGAAAAGCATACTGTTTGAAATTTGGGATAGGCCTTCAGAGAACTGCCAATATTTTTTGTAAATAAAAATTTCAACAGCCTAGGCCCTACAGAACAAATCAAGTACTACAATAAGGCCAACTCACTGTAACAGAGAAAGAAATAAAGAGTAAATTTTTTTTTTTATTTTACTTTTTAATTCCAACATCAGATGGCAACCGGAACACTACCAACTCATTAACAAATCTGAGGTTAAATTGGGAATAAGTCTACATAATTTATATAGTCAATAGTCTAAACTTATTAACTCTTAAGCTTGGGCCTACTGATTATAGTGCCCATTGAATACTTAGCAATACTTAGTTGTTTGGTTCAGACAATATCAATGAGGTCCAAACCAATCTATGATTCCAAACACTGACAGAACATTCCAACTTAAATCTATTAACGTAGGCCTAAAATTATGCCTAAAATCCTAATTTTCATAATTTTAATAGTTAAAACTATAGCCTACAGAATAGGCATAGGGCAGGGTCTACTATAATAAAAGTCAATTGCCTAAGTTAAATACTAAAATACACTCACAAGTCTCATGCCAACTACTTAAATTTTAATATGAATATCATTATGAATTAGATGGGCAATTTATATTGTTGTTGATTGTTGAAATTGATCAATTGAATTCTGAATTAGGTACCTGCATATTTGTTATGCCTATTTCATCATTGCTAAGCCAGCGCAACCTTGCTGATAAATCTTGTGATGCTTGTTGAATAATGACACCACCCATATCGGTTGGATTAACAGCCTCTTGACGTGTATCTGTCAAATATTCGGTATCTTCCGAATCAGAGGATGAAAGACCTCCAATTTTCCGTTTTGCTGATGGATCCAGATCTGTGAGATCTATATTCCTGAGATTTATTCTTCCTGCATGATGATTGGATGGATCTATCCATTGCTGTTTTTCAGATAACACTAGACAAGTATGGCTTATGCATAAAATAATTATTATTAAAGTATAAAATCGACAAAAATTGGCACCAAACATTTGACATCGATGCGCTCTTTTATATGCAAGTTTTGTCGCCATGTTTTTTTTTATTTTGTATTCTTTCTTGACTCTTCACTTAATTAACACAACACCACTAACACAGACTAAAATAATCCATTTAAGAAAATGCTCATTATAAATCCATGTGCACATTCATGAAGGAAAGTTATAGTCCATCTAATCGTCTGCAAACATGCAGAGGAAAACAAATCCATATCACATCCATCCTCTGCTACACACATTCAGATATAACCCTTCCAGTTTCAGACAACTCTGTCTACACCAGTTTTATTATGCGTAAACTAGCCAGTTGCTTTAAATTACAAGACAAATGAGCCAAAATATAATTTTTCAAAAGCTGACTAATTCTATGATAAGCATACACTTATAATTTTGTGAACCAGTTGAATTTAAATTAATTATCAACATAAAATTTAAAAAATTAATATTAAAGATTTGATTCTTTATTTAAAAATGAAATAAATATAAAAATGTCAAATTGAAATGTTACATAGCCTAATATATTACAAACATAATTTAAAAATGTAAGTAGAAGTATAATATTTTTCTTTATTTTATTAGAAAAAAATATTCTTTTAAAATCATTTTTAATAATTAGTTTACTGTTTAAATCTACATTTTTAAAAAGTAATTTCTATAAATTTTAAAGACACACTGGCATAAGCTAAATTTAATGTCTTTGGAAGAAAGGAGGAGACAGTTCTTTTTAGTTTCGACTATAATAGTATAGTCGAAACTAACGAAACTTCTGATATTTCACAATGGCGGCGTCCATGAAAGTGTTTTGTAAACAACTTGTATGGAATCATTTTTCTTTGAACTTATCGAGGATTATAGAGAATCAGTATAAACATTACATAATTAAGACACAAAAGAGATTATTTAGACTTCAGTGTGAGTTAAATTAGCATTGTTAAATATTATATTGTTTGCCGTAAGGAGTTAAGAATAATAATTGTTTTGCGGAGTTCATTCATTAATTCATTCATTCATTAATTTAAGCCTTTTTTCAGAGCAGAATAAAAATAAAATATAAGCTTAGTGAAATCAGGGGATGACTGTGTTTAAGTGTAAGAAGTAAGGAATATACACAAAGTAGAGGAAAACTTATAGTAGTATAATGCAAAAAGTGGAAGTTTTGGCCAAGAAGTAGAAGCCTTGGCCTTGGACTTCAAAATACAGTTAGTATACTCAGTATACAGAGACAAGTTTGATTAGCCAGTTTAGCTTGTTATTAGTATTATTATTGTTAATAATAAATATGGCAGGGGCCTTTTGTTTTGGTTGCACCTTTTTTTGTGTAAATTTTCAGGTCATCCTATACTTTTTTCCCCCTCATTTCCTTGTATAATGGGTAACCTACCACTTGAGCATTGGTTAAGAAAAAAATCATATTGTTCTGGTTTGAAGTGCTGGTAAATTTTGGGTTAACGGTATGTGTTTTGCCAAGAGTTGTCTCACCCTAAGCGCCGTGACATCACTTTCAGGAATCCCAACATTGAACTTAGAGTGAATAGACCAATTTTAGGACCTGAACGATGTGTGAGATAACTTTCCAGTTCTTTACTTGCGTCATAAACTAAATCTGACTATCGAATATGAAGTATATTTGATATTAAAATGCAATTTTCCATTAATTTGTGTTAAAATTCAACTTTCACTTTTCAAAAGAGAGGAAAAAAGAAACACATCCTCGCTGATACCTCAAGACTCAACACTGGTGAAAAGCAAAAGCTTGAATTAGAAAATATTTAATAACTTGTGTTTCTGAATGGATTTAGACAGCATTTAAACAGGAATATTTTCATTTGAGGTGTAAAAACTCGGTAAAGTCAATATTATAAATTTTCGAAATCTTCTGTGTGCAAAATCTCAGAGTTTAATTCATAAGAGTTCATAAGGCGTTCCCACTTTAAATACCAAAATAAGAAAAAAAGAAATCTTTTGGTGAATTCAAAAATATAAAATAAGAACAAAAAACTTGCATTACGTGAACATAAACGTAACTATTGAAATCTTTTGATTACTGAAGTTGACCTGGGGGAACCTCCGTGACCTATATACTGCTGAACACATCGCCTGCCTTAGGGCTACCTCAAAATCAGCTGAAGTGCTATTTAAACAGTTATTGTTTAATTGATAAGATAAAATTATTTTATTTATCCAAATAAATGGACATGTTATTTATGACATTGTACATATTAAAATCTCTTAATTCTCTATGCATTCCTGTAATTTGATCACCTGTCACTCTGGCACTTCAACAAGAAAACAGCGCCCCACTCTTTCTTTCTATGCCTAGAAAACCCAGTGGCCCTCTCTCCACCGTACTATTAATGGTCATGGACATCAATAAAAAAAAATCCTTTAAATAACACTTCAACGTCAAACCGGAACCAAACATTTTTTTTCATAACCAACGCTGAAGTGGTAGATTACAGTTTGATATTCCAGGTATAGTATAAATATGTAGTTGGCAGCAAATTTTACACATTCATTAATTCAATAATTCAAGGTTGGAAGTGTCCCTTGAAATTGAAATACAAGACTTTGCCTACAATACCATATGAGATTAACAGGAAACGTAAAAAGATTAGAAATAAGGCTAATGTAGGTTTAGAGTGCCACTTTGAGTTTCTGTATAGGATTCTCTCCCCTTTTGTTTATTTTTTGGATTGTTACTAAAGTTAACTTTTCTTTTTTTTAAATATTAATACGCTAATTGAATTATTTAAATTATAATTTCATTTGGTTGTTAATTATAATAATTAAATTTTCTGTGCTATTGGAACATGGGTATAGGGTAATTGTATGCTTGATGTTTCCTGACACTTTTAGATTACGCATCTTCAGTCTGGGACCCAGCTCCCTGGGCGGTGGGGAGTGGTAACGCAACACCCCCCCCGGAGAGAAAGTAAAGCCGTCCTGACCCATAGGAGAGTGGACTACGGACGCTTTAAACGCAGCGTCCTCGGACGTCCCTCAGGCCAGGAGGGAAGTTCCTGGCGGGCTTCCGCAGGGACTGGAGTCGGGGAGACCAGGCTCTGGCCCCTGTGTGGGAGTGCCGGGGGGGGAGGGGGTATTATGAGTGCAAACTCGACGACCCACCGACACCATCTCCAAAGTGACGTTATCATGGCCACCATCTTTGTTGCCATGATGGCACATGTCATGGCAACCAAGATGGCAGTCATAAAAAAAAAAGTAGTGCAAATACACATCTCCTATACTGGGGAGGGGAAAGAAAGAGAATGTGCTGTTTAAGCTTCTTACCAAGAGAAACAAAAAATAGAACAGGAATAAAGCATACAAATTTAATGGTTGCTTTTTTCCCTGGTGTAACATGTATATATAATATAATACAACAGATTAATCTAAAAAATGTATGAAAAATGTATTTGGGGGGCATTTTACCTATAACCTTTTATCCGTTGCAAGGCAAATGAAAGGACTGTTTCCGGGTACTACCACAAAAGTCCTTATCAGACTGACAAAGTTCAGGCAAATGAAGAAGTTGTGAATTGGGAATAGATTACCTACATCATTAAGGGTGAGAAGAAAATATAGTAAAAGGTTGTGGCTGTCACTGACAATAGGTTTGTAATAGGCAGAGGTGGATGAACCATTAGCTTTTAAAGTTACATTTATATCATTAAATTTTGCGGAATTCTCAGATAAAAAGAGATGTAAATTTAAAGGGTGAAAGGAGGCAGTAAAGTTTATGAATAGGTGATTTTAACCCCTCTCCATGTCCATGGTGGTAAGGCCAATGCTATCATCAATATAACGTTTATAAAATTTAGGTAAGTGTCCTATATTGTTTTTCTCCACCATGTGTTCAAAATGACCTATGAACCGACAAGAACATACATCCTTTTGGCACTACAGCACATGTAGGGCTTTGGCCTGCCTCACCACTTCCTTCCACTCAAGACCATCCCTTTGGCACTACAACCCATGTAGGGCTTTGGCCTGCCTCACCACTTCCTCACATTTAGAGCTAACTGATTATTTTCTTTTTCATGCTAGGATTCCCAGCTTCTGTAGATCTTTATCCATATCGCCTATCCATCATAGCCTAGGTCTGCCTTTATTAAGCAGTTTTCTTTTGGGGTTTTGGTGTTGCACCCTCTTCACCCCTCTGTCATTTGGCATTCTTTCTAAGTGTCCCGGCCAGCGTTGCCTGGCCAATCATATCTGGGTCCCATTTTAGTGTCCATGCCAACACCACTAATTTGGTTGAAAAAATGCCTGTTAAACTCAAAATGTATTGAGGGTTAGAACAAGTTCAGCTAGTCAAAGGAGGGCATTAGTGTGTATAGAGCCAGAAGGATGAGGTTGATGTTGGAGGAAAAATTAAAGAGCTAAAAGTCCATCTGTATGAGGAATATAGGTCTAAAGGGAGCAGACATCAGTAGGTGTTTCTATGAGGGGAGAAATATTAAGGAACTGAAAAGTTAACAAAGTGTGGTACGTATCCTTGATGAACATAGGTAAACCAGCTGCAATGGGTCGGAAAGCACAGTAAAGGAATTTAGAAATAAGCTCTTTTGGACAAGCACTAGCTGAAACTATTTGTCTGCCAGGGTTACCAGATTTGTGTATTTTGGGAAGGAGGTAGAAGCAATGTTTACTGAGGTCACTATCGAAAATGTCAAGAGAAGATGCAGATTTAGGTAGTGTAGAGTCTGCAATTTTCAATAGTTTTTTTTAACAAGATCATTGTTTTTTGTTATACGGTCACTGATTTTTTATTAATAAAATTGGTTGTCTTCTAATTTTCTGTGTGCCTCTTTATTATATAGATTTTTTAAATTGCTACAACAGCTCCTTTATTGGCGGATTTCATGACAATGTCATTGTGGCTGTGTAGTTATGAAAGTGCCCTCAACTCTTGTTTTGAGAGGTTAGAGAAGCAAAGTGGGAGTAGGTATAGTGTCCCAATATCATGTTCAGTTTTGCTTAATAATGTCCAATTAGATTTGCGTTCCCTCTTGAATGAACAAAAAAAATCGTTTGGAGGTATGCTGTTTTTACTGGGCAAATAGTATTGTAATCTTAAGTCACAAAAGGAAGGATGTAAGTCTGTTAGCAGCTGATAGCAGTCACATGTTGGTTTAAGGGGGGCAAGTTTGAAACCCTTATAGAGAAGAGACCTTTTGTCATTGGAGAGTGGGGGGAAAGGGGGGGGGGGGGTTACAAACAACCCAATTGTTACCAGTTATGCGTCCTTCAGATGTTGGTTTCATTTTTTATTTTAGATTGTCAAGTTTTTAAAATTCTTTTTATTTGTAGTAAGGCAAGTATACAAATCAGATTTGAGCTGGTGAATTTACTAGGCTTGAAAGCAGTCCTTTAATTATTTTATATGAATAATCTCTCTTGTGAAATAATTTTGGGATTATGGGAAGTCATGGACAAAATATGATATACACACGTGTATGAATGGAATCACAAAGCTTGGAGTACAGAGAATATTTATTTTTGGGGAAATGATGATGATGTAAGAAGAAAAGGTAAAGTGAGAACAGAACAAGAAAATGAAGGAGGAAAATAACACAGAAAGGCCTCGATATAAATTCCAAGAAAAACACAGAGAAACATTCATATTAAAGCGCATATAAAAAATAATAAATTAAATACACGTAATGAAAATACGTGAAATGAGGACTAAAAATAGTAGCAGTCAGTGGTATTTTGTAGGCCTAAAAGTAAACGCCTAATATTATAATGATTAATTACATGTTTATAATAATAGTAATACTAAATTAGAATAAGAGAGGAGTTAGAGAAGGTAGGAAGAGACTGGAAGGCTTGGAAAAAAGGTGTTGATAATGGCCTTTGCAGATGCTCTACTGTTAATGATGTTCTTTTTCTTCCGAAGATCTTTCAAAACCATTCACATTGTCCTTTTTTAAGTTTAAAAAAAAAAATTATATACAGGTAGTTATTATAGGGCATAGCAATGCCGGCCTTTAGGATGCGCGACCTGTGCCCTGGCACAGGGCGCCGCGGCCATAGGGGTGCCTGGGGCGCCTAGTAAATATTTAAATTCCCTTAGTTTATTATAGTGAAGTGTGAAGTACCCTAGAAAAAGTAAAGAGTCTAAATTAATGTGCATATTAAAATGCGTATGGTTAGCTACATGTATAGCATCATAACACGTGCTCCATAGCCTACATCTGAATCGGAAAAAGAACGGAACCATAAAGGGAAGGGGGCGCCAAATGGGTGCTTCGCACAGGGCGAAAGTTTACCTAAGGCCTGTGTTGGGCTTAGCTAACAATTTTTAAATTGTAAAAAAAGCAAATATTTTTATCCAGTTTAACAATATATCATTAAATGTGTAAGATTAAGATGTATAGTAAGAATCTAGGCAATGTCTTAGTATTTGCAAGCCTAACAAACTAAATTTTATGTTTTTTTGAATTCTAATAAAAATAAACATTTATGTTGCAGCCTGTTTAAGCGGTGGAGAATATGAATGGGAGAATCCAAAGTCAGAAGCTGATGTGTAAGTTTTAAACTGTGAAGATACCCACACTTTTTCAAATATAATTAATCACAATACAAAATTTGTTTAAATTCTTTATGGGGGGCTTATTGAACAGAAAAAAAAAAAAGTTAACCTAATGCAAAATGTCTAGTAAATTGTTATATTAAAATTAAAGAAAACAAACTAAAATTTATGTTCCAAATTCTTCACCAAGAAATAGAGAGATATTTATTTTGTTGTAAACCAAGTGAGATAGGTGTGATTTGCAGTTCAATCTTAAAATAGTAAATATAAGTAATAGTAGTATGGATATTAGACCTGTTACTATTTATCTTTATCACGCCACAGTGGTGACTAGGTTTCACAATCATTTTTTACTTTATTTCATATATGTTATGTTTATAAAAAGTATATGACTTTTTAAAAAAGCATTTTACTTATTTGAAAATGGTTTCCCCCCATACTCATTAACAAAGGGTTTTTTAAAGTTGGAATTATTAAATATAATTAATATTATATTATATTTATTATTAATAAGATAAGATCCAATTAATGATTCAAACACTCTAATTAAGATAGTATGTTTTTTGAAATTTTTCAGTGTGAATATTACATACATCGACCGCCAAGGTGAAAAGCACCATGTCAAAGGAAAAGTTGGGGACAACGTTATGTATCTAGCCCATAGATATAACATTGAAATAGAAGGTATAAATATGAGATTTCACTTCCCCTACTTCATTAAAAAAAATTACAACAGCTAAGCCTCATTTTATTTAATGACTTTTTTTTTTTTTCTAAGGAGCTTGTGAGGCATCTTTAGCATGCTCAACTTGTCATGTCTATGTCAAAGATGAATATTTCTCCAAATTACCAGAGCCTCATGAAAAGTAAGTGGTGGTGGTATTTCTTTAAAGTAAATCGTTACTATTTCTTTTCAAGTACCCCGTATAGGCCAATCATGCATTTTTTGCATGTTGACAATCTAATTATCATATCCATTTATTTATTTCAATGAATGAGAACTGTTTTGAATAATAATTTTGTAATAACATTAAAAAACAAGAATACTTACATATATACACATAGAGCCTAGGAATATAGAATGAATCAAAGAAAACTTTACGTATCGTGCATATTTTAGTCTTACAGATGCAGGAAAACAGGCTAATTTTATTTTTTACATATTTATTTGATATTGGCCATTTTATAAAATCTGAAATTTTTTTTCCGTTTTCCTATATTTATCTCAGAGAGGAAGATATGCTGGATATGGCCCCATATCTGAAAGAAAACTCAAGATTAGGTAATAAATATTGCTAAGGTAGAATCCATTTATGGATCTGGATTTTGAATTTTGTTCACCTCAAATCTAAATGGCACATACTATGATGGAAATCAGAATAATTATTTTCCCTAACACCGCAAACTACAATAGAATTATTTTACTTTTTACAGCTGCATTCTCTCATGTATCCACTTAAACTAAGGACTTTGACTTTGCCCATGGTATAATTGAAACTGCATAAACAAACTGCAAATTTATAGTTCATTTCTGCTTTGTGAAAATTGACTTTTACCCACTGATACCATGTTTTAAGTTTAAACTTTTGAATATTTCTTCTTATTTCCGATGTTCACAGGGTGCCAAATTATTCTAAGCAGAGAGCTTGATGGGATAGAAGTAACCCTCCCGAAAGCAACAAGAAATTTTTATGTCGATGGTCATATTCCACAGGCACACTAGCAATGGTTTATACACGAAAAACTGGTCATCCTGGGGAAAATGTTCACAGTAGAGGACATAGCTGGTATGTCAGCATCTTGTAAAACAAGTTGTGATAATGGATTTGTGTCCAAAATTTCTCAGATGATTTTTTTTTAAAATAAGAAATGAAATACATTTAACTCAGTGTTTGAAATAGTGAGTGCTAAAATGGATTGACTTTTTCAGGATTTCAATCAAGACATTTTGTGAATATGAACCTGGGTTTTGCGGCATTAATTTAAAAAATATTTAGTCCTTTTTCATAAGTGCCTGTTGCAATGAATATTGCTGATGAATGGAAATAGATACACAATTTTTCTGTTTTATTTCTTATTCTTAGCAACAATTATACAAACACAGATTATATACTACAGATGAAACGTGTTTGAAGCTGGTCTGATCATATTTGCAGTTGTTATTTGCAAAAGAGTTCATATGTAAAAGAATATATACCGGTATAAAATACTCATCAAAATAGAACAATGTATGCAACATATCATTTGTTTTTTTAGCATCATTTTTTTGTTTTTTTTAAATCTATGAAGAGGATAAAAAAGTGGGCTGAAATGAAATCATCAAGCCATTGTATCAATCAAACCTGTTGTATTTAGAGGTCGAATGTAATATTTTCGTTTGCTTTTACATGGTGTATAGATCTCTTAAATACTTAAATTTCTTACATTTTTAAAATGCAGAGCTGCATCCTTACTATGATCAGTGGTAGACAAAAACAGTTAACTACAAGCCCAGAATATTTTTACAGATAACCTACAATTTTCATATTATTAAGGGCTAAAAAATATCTGCAAAAGAAACATTAGTCCAAAATTAAATATTCTGATTTCTGTCTCCTGAATATGATCCACATATATTATGTGTAGCCTAGGGCTCTCCAACACCCAGTAATGTTTTTGTAACCTCCCAACTACAGTCTATTATACTGCAATCAAGGGAATTAAGGTTAATGGGTTGAGAGTGCAACGGTGGGACATCACAATAATGGTTGCAGCCACTTGCTGTTAGAGATATGTCATACTTTATTTATAAGATATTTGATCTTGTGCAAGTAATTTTATACTTAACTAATTTTATTTTACATCAGCAATGACTAATGATTGTTGTGCTTTGTCCATTTAGCACAGTGGATACGATTTTTTGCAAGTTCATCCCCTTGAAAAGCTTAGGAAGCACTGTGAACATCAGTGTTAACTATTTTATAATCATAGAAAACTTAAAATTTTTTTTTAAAAATTAAAAAAATTCTTCTCACTCATAAGATTTAAAAAAAAAAAAAATTTTGCACATTACAGTTACAGTAATCATGTTTAAATAATTGAATGCATTAATTTGTGGTGACTGCTGAGCTTAAAAATTCCAGAGAATAGAGAAAGAAAAAGTTAAATTTGCATTTCATTTTTTTAACACAGGTACTCGGTACCATGCCCTTTTCTAAAAATGATAATCTGAATTGAATTATTTTATCTTATGATATGAAAAATTCAATAACATTTAATATCATTAACGATAATTTAACTTATCGAAGAAAAAAATATTTAAAAACCACTTTTTGCATTGTAAAGTTCAAAAATGTTTTCAAAAATACTTGCTGATCACTAAAACTAATGGGTGCTAAAAGTGTCTTATTCATTTTCCAATGATAAATCCTTGGAGGGGGGGGGGGGTTGTTGTTTTAATGCATGACCTTTAAATTCAATGATAAAAACTAGAAAATGCATGGATTATTTAATTTGTTAAGGAATAATTATTGCTCAATATTAAATGATTACTTATTTTGGATTATTTATTACACACCACCTTGGAGGGGGGGGGGGGGTTGTTGTTTTAATGCATGACCTTTAAATTCAATGATAAAAACTAGAAAATGCATGGATTATTTAATTTGTTAAGGAATAATTATTGCTCAATATTAAATGATTACTTATTGTGGATTATTTATTACACACCCAGTACAGGGATATTTATTTAGCCAGGAAATCCCTTGATATTATGTTTTCCTAAAATCTTTACATAACTGTGGGTAATTGTTTTTTTCATATGCTCCTATTGTGGAAGGTTGAGTTAAAAATGTGTTATGATGCAATTTATAGTTTGACTGATTTAACTGATTACAGTCCGGAGCAATGCATTATGATTTATTTGATAAAAATTTCCGTTCGTCATTGTAATTTTAACCTTACTTATGATGTACAGGTACATTTTATAAGGTATGTGTTGGAATACTTAAATTTAGCTTTATGGGCTGGTTAGTAAACACATTTAATTTATTAAACATAAATAATAAAAGAAATGTACAAGAAAATTATCAAAGATGAACTCCTTTATTACTTTTTCATAAATGTGAAGTCCATGATTTATCATTAATCTTTTTCACAAATTAATTCTTAAGGTAGTGAATATCAAATGACAATTTAAGAACACATTTATATTACAAATACATTTTTTTTATGTCAGAAAGTAATTCAGGTCAATGATTTCTCACATAATTTATTTATTAAAGTACTTATGCAAGATGCTGATCTTGAGCATGGCTAGTGGTGTCCTTTGTTTTTATCATATTTTATGTCAATGATCTGAGGATTTATTTGAGTGCATACGAGGGAGAATTATATGCACTGTTGCAATTTAAAAGTAATAAATATATCTGATAGAAAATCTAAATTGTTATAGTGTTATATCTTTTTTTTTCTTTTTTTTAATTTTTATTTCAGTAAACTATATTTCTTGTCTTCTTAATCTATTGAAGAAAACTGCTGATTATTTTAATTTAAATCAGTTGTGTTTTTTTAATGATATATCAAAGTTTTAAAAATGTTATTCTAGGAACTCTTATTTAATGATATTATTTACAGCATCATTTTTATTGTGTAATAAAATGTCAATAAAACCTTACTTAACAAAATTACAACTTAGATAGCAAACAACGTCCATGCATGCATGGTAGAAATATTAAAAAGCATTAAAATTAAACCAATTAAAAATAAAAATAAATTCAGCATGAGATTACAGCTATTGACCCACATACAATATTTACGTGGCATCAATACTGTTGGAGTTCAGGCTGTTTGTCCATTTCACCAGTTCATCCACTTCATTTTCCCACACATCATTTTCACCCAGATGATTGCGACTTGGCGGAGGCACCTCTGTAATCCTTTGTTCCTGGGTCACAGCTGCCAACAAAAGATGTCAATTGGTCAATTGCTACTAGTTGCTTCATTTTTCCCTGCTTACCCTTAGTAATACTAATAGATAACTACCTAATGATGTGCTTGTTAAGAAAAAGTCACATATAAGTTTATAAACTGAACTTCTACTTTTATATGAGTACTCTTAAAAGTTATGAGGATTTCCTAAGTGAGCTTTTAAAGCTTTGGATCAATCGTTCTGCAGATCCATTCATAGAGGGATAATAGGGAGCACCAACGAGATGTACCATACTCCTATTTTTTCACCACTGTTGGAATTCTCCAGGCGAAGCTAGTAGCATTATCACTTACTATGGTGTGTGTATAGCCAAAATTATTGAAATCTTCCGCCAGAAGATCAACAAGGGCTTTGGTTGATGTGGATGTTGTCCTGTGGATATACAGGTACTTTGAATAAGCATCTATCATCAACAGCGATTGTGGTCCCTTGAAGTTGATGGCATGGTCCATTTGCACTCAACTCCATGGTTTTTCTGTCAGCATCCATGGGTGGTCACTGGCTTTTTTAGGGTCTCTGGCATGTTCTGCCCAGCTCCATGATTTGAGCATCAAGCCCTGGACAGTATACAGATGATCTGGCTAAATATGTTATCGGATTGATTTCTAAATGTCTTGTGTGCAAGATTTGGAAAACTTGTAGTATTTTATGCACGTGTTTGAAGATGATTCATTTTTATCAGTTTTTATTTCTATACTCCCTAGAACATTAAGTTGGCCCTCAAGAGCCGATTCATACTTAATGAATACTGAACTCAATGTTGGCTGTCCAAGCTTTTGCCATACATTCTCTGACATAAAATTCTCCCCAGCTCCTGTGTCCACTCCAAATACAAATTTCTTCCTTCTAAGAGTAGTTCCTGATTTATTGGCGGGACTGTTTTGACCTATTTTTGCCTTCTTATTGGTTTAAGGTAACATGGTTTCTGTCTTGGTGTAAGAAGACATACTCTTTCAAGATCCGTTTTCTTATGGCAACTGTGGCATGTCATGTCTCTATATCTGCAGACATTTCCCTTATGAAATTTTCCCCCACATCTGCCACAAGTTCCCCCCACATTTCCAACTGGGAAATAATTTGTCTGTGATTTAGAAAACCGTTCTGCATGGTGTTTTTTTTATTACTTTTGGTGTTTACCTTATTAACAGGAACTTATGGGTGGACTGTTTCCTTTGCACATTTAGCTGCCTCCTCTGGTCCCACTGCTGCTATTTCAACTGCTTTTTTAAAGGTCAATTCTGTGTCCTTCATTCTAAATGATATCTTCACAATCACTTCACGTTTGACTGAGCGTATAAGCCTGGTCCTCATTGCTTCATCCAGAAGGTTTTTTTAGTGCACCATAATCACAGTTACTGCCTCTTGTCTAAGTTGTGATGTTTATTCTTTAATTGTCTCCCCTGGCTTTCTAAGGGGGTCGGTCCAGATTTGAAATCATTAGTTTATGGCAAATTATGCTGGGTTAAACTGGTCCGTCATCAGTGAATTCTTCCATTGATAATGAATTTATATATTTTTGTTTATCCCTTTGTTTGACCAGTGTTAACAGCTATTTGTGAATCTCCAGTGTTTGCTTTATGAGAAAAATTTGAGCTTTTCTTTTGGTATTGTGTTTTCTAACACAAATGTTTCATAATGAGCGTAGTAATCTGTGAAGATTCTTCATTATGATGAAATCTCACAAATTTCATCTGATAAGACATAGTCACTCCTGAAAATTTCATCTGATAAGACATAGTCACTCCTGCAAATTTCATCTGATAAGACATAGTCACTCCTGCAAATTTCATCTGATAAGACATAGTCACTCCTGCAAATTTAATCAACGCTTCATTTTGCTGTCTCAGCATTTCTAGTAGCTAAATCTGGGTCAGAGTTGTCTCAGCCATGTTACTTGTATACCGTGTAGTTACGTGAAGTCTGTATATTTACACAGTAAAAGTATAAGACTAGTACTAGTCAACAGTTCACTTTGAATAGTACTTACTAAATACTGGCCACCATTTGTTATGTTTTTATTTAAAACATTAAGTACTAACATATTGATATATACAGTATACAACAAGCAAGCTCTTGATCAGTTTCGCCATGCTCCTCATGGTGATACAGTGCACACAGACAGTCCACAGGACTGGTCATGCGCCACACTATAGCCCAATTGACTGTTCATGCGGTATTGCAGACCTGTTTACCCTCAAACTCTTAAAATCGTACAATATCATCACAAAATCATTCAATACATTATCTTAACAGTAAAAAAATAAACATACAGTATATATAATTATATGCCTCTAAATCGTACATTGTACTGTACACCAAAATCGTAAGAGTAAACAGGTCTGGTATTGTCAACTATAATAATATATATATTTATATATATATATGGATAATCCACAATCTGGATAACTGAGACTGGCTATATGCAGTATACCTGAAACACATAATAGAAGTCCTACCTGTTGTCCTTTGAGGTGGGAGATAAATCTGCTTCATCTTTTCCAGCTTAGCGAGTTTCGCTGCCTTGATTGTGTCAAGGGATGGTTTGTTTTTAAATACTCCATACATCATTGTGTTATGGCTAAAGAAAAGCATCAAAGAATCTTTGAATTGCATGGGCAAATACAGCTCATGATCTACTAAACTAACTTCCCAAACCTAGACTTGATCTAAGTTTATGATTTCCATCATTTACTCTTAAGTACTTATCAAGTGCCTTATATTGTTGCCCACCTGCATTCGTTCCTGTCCTACTCTCAAGGGCCAAGTTAAAACCCTTAATGTCAGAGCTAGAAAGCTACCTGACTGCTTTATCACAGAACTTCTAATCAGCATGCCCTCACTCACTCTTATAAACCTCAATGTTGAGTGCAGAACCTTTGTTTGGAACGTAAAGTCTGATCATGTTTATATTTTAGTGCCTGATGTTGACTATACTGAAATATTTACTATACTCTGTATTTATTCTTATTAATTCAAATGGGTACACACTATGTAACTAACCTGGGTTTACACTATCTTAATCAACTATCAACCCCCCCCCCCCAATTCCCTTTCAATCAATTCAAGTGATCTGGATGTCTAACAGCAAAAGGCACTGTCTTGTTTGGTTTAAAGTTAAAACTGTCATTTTAAGTGGGGCTTTAGATATTACACTTCATTTCAATCACTCTGGAGGAGTATATTCTAGTACATGAAACCCATGTAGGATCATTTCCATTGCAGATTCAAAAAAATGATGAAACCAAAAGTTATTTTTATAGAAACCTTTCAAAATGGACAATTTTTAACATTTCAATTAACTCAAATATTTAAAAAGGATTGGCTAAAAAGGCTGGATTTCATCTTCATGACTTTATAGTTCTGGTTAAAATGTATAAACAAAATGATTTTGACGCCAATTACTCTTCCATCTGTTTTTTTAAATGCTCCTCCACTTCTTTCCTAGGCAGACCAAGATGAATCTCCTGTAGTCGATCCTGATCTTTTATTGTGTCTAAATCTGAAAAGTTTAATTGAAAGTTATTTCTCTAACACATTTTATTGATCTTTCTTTTTTCACTGCTCAGTGCTTTACCTCCCTTTTCTCTGAAAGGGTTTTTTTTTGTCAGATGTAAAAAAAACAAAACAAAAAAACTGAATTCACTAAAAATAAGTGCATCTGAAGGGTTAATTAACACTCCAGAGCTTCCTTGTTATTTAGATACATTTAAATGTTTTAATTATTCTCTTAACAAACGAAATGAAACGAAAATTCATTTAAATATTTTATCTGCGATGAATTAAATGAGAGAGCAAAAAATATTATTTCAGTAATCACAATGTTTTTCAAATGGACCTTAAATGAACTTACCATGGATCTTTTATGAAATTACCATATCCTCTTTATTTCTAGCTATCTTTTTTCACACAAGGATATTTTTGTTGATTAATGAAAACTTTTAAATGTTCTGCTTGGGGTTATTTTGTTTGTACTTCACTTTTATCAATGATTTCACTACAAAGTCCATAAAATTTACGCTTAATTAACTATTGTATAAGAACCACTAAAAAATTTTTCACGTTGAGATATAAGAAGCTCTTACAAGAATTTGTTGTATCTTGTTTTGGCTTAGATGTGCCAATAGCACACCATGTGCTGTGATAATCTTCAAACGACAATCTTGTCCTACGCTTGTTACTGTTATTTTGTGGAAATGTACTCTGTGGTGGTATATTGGACATTTCTTGCCTGTTTTGTGCTTCATCTCCTGAAAGCTCCCCTCCAGCTGTTAAAAATTGTTTATTTTTTATCCTGAGATGTTAATTATGTAAAACAAACACTTTTAAAAATATAATTCATTTCATATCATTTTTACTACTTACTGGTTACTAGTAATAAAGAATTATCTATCATCCTCTTCCTTTTCAAAAGTAAAGAAATTAAAAATGAAATAACTCTTTAATTTTCTTTAATTAATCTGACTACTGGAACACTTTTGTACCACATAATTTGTTCTTCTTAACAATATACATTTTTTACCATCTACAAGTTGACTTGCTTTAACACATTCCTTAACCATCTGAAGATAAGACTGTGGAGAGTTATGTAACATCTGGGCAGCTTCAGTGTTGACAGCATTCTTGAGTACTGGATTTGAGATCAATGCCTGTGGGAATGCATAAGAACTTGTACCATTTTTGTTCAATTGTAATGTGACACACATGTTCAATAAAAGAAATATTAGACATTTATATTAAATGTACGAACTTTTTAAGTGTTATATAAGGATGGTATGTTAATATAAATTGTATTTTTAGATTCAATATGAATAAAATATTACCTTAAAATAGACTCAGTTTAAATGAATTAATCTGTTCTGATAAAAAAGGCACAATAGTTCCATAACCATGAACAGTAAAGAAACATACTTGCAGCGTAATCAAAACCATAGAAAAACTGTAACTTTCTTTCCAATGTTGATTATCATCAAGAAAATCCACACAAGGACGTCCTGTTGTAACATCAACTGTAAAATATAAATTAATTTTTCTTTTCTATTTCAAATACAACTACATTTGTCGGTAGAAATAGTAGAATAAAAAATGTTTAACTAACAAAAACGTACAATTTTTTTATTATCTTTCATGATTTCTAACCCAAAATACGTTCATATGATTCTGGTAGATATTGATAAGTGTGTAAACTAAATATAGCATATATTACTCAAATAGTTTGTATTTAAATTTTAGCATGTTATTTTAAACTATAAATATTACATACCACACATATTTATTTTCAATAAGTGTCTCAAAAAAATATTTAAGTAAAAGTGAAGAAATGTAATTAAGGAAAGGCTTGAATATATTGATATGCAATTTATAAAAATATCAAAGCCAGCAGAGTGAAAACAATACAAGCTCTAATCTGAACTTGTAAATAAATCTTAAAATAAATCATAAATAACTGACTTACCGTTAGGATGAAATGGTATTGTTTGAAAGAAAACCTGAGGTGGTCGAATATTAAAATGTTCATCAAATCTAATATAGATTTTGAAAATTCCACCTATAAGGATTTTAAAAAAAAACTGTATCTATATCTTAAAGAAAAAGCATACACCTAATTATTTTTAGAATACTAAATAAGTTACCATATTATTTGCAATATAACTTAAATTTAAAAAGTATTTTGCTAAGACTCATGTAGAAAGGCCCTGGCCCACATTAGAAACTCTCATATGGGGTGACTTATTGTATCCTGAAGTGGGAAAGAGGCATGTTAGAGTCATACAATCCCCATCCTAGTTCAAGTAAAAGTAATGGGTGTTATTTCAAGGGTTAGCAGACTTCCAGGATGCTTTACACTGTAGTGGGGATGGGTGGAGAGCTGGCATGTTTGGACAGCCATCATTGAGTCTAAAGGATGATAGGACAATCTTAATACTGATACCAAGTTAAAATAGTATCTATGAATTTTGCTCACTGAAATCTTTAGTTTAATGAAAAATTTACAAATCATAACGCAGTGCTGTTTATAAATATACATAATATACACACAGGTTAGTACAATTATTCTACAAAAAATATTAAAAACACAGAAAGAGGAAGAGATTATAGAACTCTCTATTTTTTTATAAACATATCTGGAATTTTAATTTTTTTGTGTGACTCAGTCTGACTCTGCAACCCTACCAAAGAAACACTAGTATACCTTCCCAGTCTGTATTTTTAAGTCCTTTAATTTTTGCCATCCATTCAAAGATACTGTCTTCATATAAGGGCCAGGCTTCAATACCCTTTTTGGAAAAGAATATCATAAATATTTTTAAAGTATTTTGTGCAATTATGAATATCAGACTTATGAATTAGGTTATTAAAAATTAAATTTATTTTAATATTCAAAGTATGAAAAAAAAATAATTTAAACACAATACTCATTTTCTGTACCCCACGTCAAAGTTAAAGGGTATTAAATAATAAATTGAGGGTGATTTAAGATTTAAAATAATTACTGTTATTACTGTGATTTGATTGAACTCATCTTGTGTGATTATATTTATAGGCTAGGCTAGTAGTAGTAGCTACACTTCACACATCACAATGACAAAAAATATTTAATGAATGTTAATATAATTATTTTCATTGACATCAATAAAACATTGACATTAGACTAATTAGGCAAAGACCTAAAAATTGGATTAATTGCTAAATGAGTCATTCATATTCAAAAAAATGTTTCAGTATTTTACTCAGAAATAATTTAATTTAAAGTATACATTTCTACATACAAAGTATACATAAAGTTTACATAAAAGTAATTTAATTTAAAGTATACACTTTTTTATCTTTATTTATAAAATATTTAGTTATCTTACGACTCACGACACACTCATCACTGTCATCACACTCTCACTCTCAGTACTGAGTTAAAGTTTAAGTCTCAATACAATTCAATGCAACATTTTCATACCCATGGTGGATCCTCCACTAATTTCTTATGCTCTCTTTCAATAATCAAATGAGCCCTCGAATACATTATAAAACTGTTTATGTAATGAATTCAAGAATAGAATTAAATATTTGAAGACGTTTCTCCAAGACCATTGCTATTCAAAATTCATCAGCAAGTCCATTTATTATTGTTTCCCTTCGCGACCAACAATTAAACTATTTCCGGTTCTATTGGTCAATAAGCAGTGTTATGGGTATTAGCGGGCAGAATAATTTGCCGTGCATTGAAGGGCAGACTCATGCATTTATTTATTTTTGATGTCACATCCATACGTTTTCTTCCCATAATTATGATTATGTTATGGTCACCAAGCAGCAAATCTTAAGTCTTAGTCTGGAAATCTACTAAGGGCATGGGCGCCCGCAAAATACTTTCTAGGGGGGGGGGGGGGGGGGAGAAATCGATAAACTTTTTGGGGGGGGGGGGGAATTTTTTTTTAGTTATGTTTTAATAGAGTTTTAATTTACTGTAGCGTATTTGTATGGTGAACGAACGGACAGGACATCAGCTTAGTTACTTTCTCTTTATTTTCTCTTTACTTTAATAAATTGTTTGTCTATTTTTGTCTAAAAAAAATTTATCCAATCAATCCAGGGGGTGGGGCAAGTGCCCCCCTTGCCCCTACCTGCGGGCGCCCATGACTAAGGGGGCGTCCATTAAATGGAGGGGGGTATTTTTGACAGTTGTCGACAAGGGGGGGGGGGTAGATTAATTGAAGTCAACAATCATGTTTTTTAAATTAAAATATTTATCTTAAAAATTGATTGATTCTTACATTATTTTAAACAGTTTAATGAGTGTAAATATTCATATATCTTTAGGCTTTTAACAATATAGGCCAAAGAGTTATTTAATATGTGTCTGTGCACTGCACATGGTTGGTAAAAATGTTAGCACACTTTGTTTCAACCGTAAGCAACACAGGCCAATATACATTAAATGAAAAAGATGGTAGATAGCATCACCCCCAGAGAGTGTTTGCGAAATAGATGTGTTTTTAAAACGGATTTAAAGGACTCCAGTGTCTGGCTGTTTCTGAGAGCGACTGGAAGGGCGTTCCAAATTGTTGGGCCGGCAAATGCAAAAGTGCGCTTTCCGTAAGTCTCAAGGTAAACCCACGGTATCGATATTTTGCCACTATCGGATGAGCGGAGCTCTCTAGTGGGTACATAAGGCGTCATGAGTGCTTTGAGATAAGAATTTGGCAATTTCTCAGTATTTTTAGGATTCTATAGTTTTATAATAACATATTGTTCATGCAGTGGCGTAGGAAAACAGTTCAAATGGGTGGTCCGCCCAGGGTGGCACTTTTTACTTCCTATAGACGGCCGCATTTACGACCAAATTCAGAGTTTTTCGTGGAGAGGGGGCGGCAACAATATTGACCCGGCCCGGGGGGAGGGGGGGGACGCTTACCCTAGCAACGCCACTGCTTTCATGAGAGATATCTGGTCATAATAAATAATTGTTCCATAGGGGCCCAGGGAATTGCTTTGACCAGGAATTACAATGATGTTAAGATGGTCCTGCTCATCCTTGTCCCAGTATCAAACGGTCTTTTTTTGCCTCTTGAGCTATCCGATCCCAAAAAATGTGAGAAATTGTCCCCCCCCCCCCCAAAAAAAATCTAAAAAATCATCCCTTAAGTTTTAAAGCTCTCTTCTTTCAGCCGGAGACCTATGGACCCCCCCCCCCCCCCAAAAAAAAATCTAAAAAATCAGCCCTTAAGTTTTAAAGTTCTCTTCTTTCAGCCGGAGACCTATGGACCGCCCCCCCTCCTCCCTTTACATCTAAACAGTGGTCAGGCTAGAGGCATGGTTTTCTTTAATCCCGTTGCCCGTTGGTGTCCTTCGATTTTAGCTTGTGTGTGTGGACATTCCGCGTGGACATGTCTCAGCACAGCGAGAAGTAAACACGACATCCAATGCCTTCTACACCGTGGGTCAACAAATATAAAAACGCAGGAAGCACTACTGACCTCCACTGTGCACACACGGAGTTTTAAGCACGGTGCACACGATCATGACGTCCTCTTAAATAATAAAGTACAGGTATCCAGCTATAAGAAAACATCGGTGACATCAAGGCTATTTCACTTTAGGCTTTCGGTCTTGTATTATATTTATATCCACTTTAACAAATAAATAATTAAGACAAATCAACCTCGAATCATTGTTAATTCACCCGTTTCTAAAATGTTGTCAGACTAGAAACATTTTTTTTTTGTTTTGTTTCTAACTCATGGTTAATGTCCTTCAACGTAATATGAAAACAAAATTTCACTCATCAGCCTTCTTTGAATGTCTCTATCAATTAAGCTCGAATGAAATACTGGTTGATGGCGGAAGCTTCTGTAGTAAAAAGGCAAGAATGTGTGAATTAAAAAAATATATGTCTGTATATGTTTGCGAAAATTAGGACTGCACCGAAAGCGTTTTAAACTCATGTCATTGCTGTAATTATTCAGTTTAAGAATTATTAACTTCACGTTTATTATATATTGCGTAACGATTTACTGTATACCCCCCCCCCCCCACTTAAAAAAATAATTTTAAAAATCCCACCCCCCCCCCCTTTTTTTTTAAATTTTCTTTGAAATCTTTTACTGTTGGGTTGTTTGTAACTTCTGCTACACAGCTATCGCATGGGCCAACCAACCCATGTGGCTGAAGGGGAGGTGGGGGGGCTCAGATATTTAAGGGGCCCAAAGCTGTCATGTGGAAACAAAAAATTATTATACCATTAACTTTGAAGTCAGGGGTGAAAAAATCTAAGAGTTGCAGGGTGGGGGCGCTCACAATGTAACGTGACGTTTTAAGCAGTGCTTTTTTTTTTTTGGTGCCGGTATGCACTGGTACGGCGTACCGGCACCTTTTTCAATGTGGGGAAAAAATATTACTTTTCTTGTATTTTACTTTTAACGTTTATTATTAATTAATACGGTATACTAAAAAAAAGTAATAATAAAACAATTTAAGTTGGTTAATTATAAAATAAAATTGTTTTAGACATTTAGTATCTTTGCAGTTGTGATTTAGCTTGCATCGAGGTGCGAACTGGCAGTTAAAAGTTAGGCAATCCATCACTGAGTACCGGCACCTATTTTTTTTTTTTTACAAAAAAAGCACTGGTTTTAAGTAATATTTTAATATTATATTTGCAGAAGTTGTAATCTGTCAGCTTTAGCATCTTCGACGACCTTGGACATAACCATTACATACATTTTTAAATGATGGTACCCCAACCACTCGGCGCCCGACCTCACCCCACGAAGACAAGCACTAAAGCCGCACACGGCAGAGCAGTACTGTATACTTCAGGCTTGAGAAACGGCCAATCGTGCGACTAGGGATCCTAAACATGGGGACCAAGTTATGAAATGTTTCTGCCTTGTGTGTGAAAAAACAAAACTTCTTTAACTTTTTTTTTTCGCTGCCAACTGGTCCCAGCGACTTTTCGGTTAGTTTGGATTTTGATTAGTATTTTTTGGCGACAGCCATTCTGGCAAATGTATGGAGGACAACGCGACGATTAGAAGCAGTGGCCAGGGAAAAGTTGACAACGTTGTTTATATGACTTTTCTTGGTTAGCGCAGTATGTTCTCTGATACCAAGACATGTCTAACCGAGCATCACAACTGCTGCATGAAAGTACATTTCGTTCAGAGCACAACAAAATTGTCGTGTACATATATCATTTTGAAAACTGTACAGGGTTGTCACCGTAACCCCTTCTGTGACATACTTTTTTTGTGTGGACCAGGTCAAATGTATATATAAATATTTATATGTTTTATGTAAATGGATTGTGCAGTATCACTCCCCGTTTCCTTTGAACACTAGAAGGTTTGTGGAACCCCAGCATCTGAAAATGGACTACTGTGCTTTGTAAAGAATAATGACATTGATTATACTTCTTGTGGGTAATATAAAATAACGTGCCCCAGACTGGACCTTGTGATTAACTGTATCCAGCAAGTGGTTCCTGAGGAATTGCAATGGATCTTTACCTGACGCTTAGCATAATTATTATATGGTATTTTTTTAACCTTGAAGGTAAGAAGATAATATTAATAACTGTTACTTTCATACTGCGTATCACTTCAGGATCGTGCCATGGAAAATCTCTGCACGGGTCCTATATGTCCCATTCACGCCCCTCCCCTACCACACACACACTTTCCCCACGTTTAGAGCGATCGGGTATTACTATTATAAAATATGTTTTTTTTTTAGTAATATATTTGTAGAAAATGTTTAAACATTTCTTTATGTTGTTAATTTTCTTTTAAAAATCAAGCTTCGATATGATGTTTAAATCAATAATATTGATATTTTCCAATTAAAACAACAACAACCAAAAACCTCACCGGTGTGTGTCAATTATCGTGTCGCTGTTGAGAATCTTCATTTTCAATACTATTCTACGTGTAATGAGGTATTCCCGATTTTTAAAAGACCCATAGCGAACACTCAAGATATTTTGTTAAGTTAGAACATCGATGATATAGTAAAATATCGATCGCGATTCACTTTTTTTTTTTGTGGGGGTTGGGGGGGGGGGCGGGTTACATCATGAAAAGATGGCGGTCACTATTAAATCACACTATTCCCCCAAACCTGCAGCCAAGAGATTGGAATCGATCGCGATTCACTTTTTTTTTTTGTGGGGGTTGGGGGGGGGCGGGTTACATCATGAAAAGATGGCGGTCACTATTAAATCACACTATTCCCACAAACCTGCAGCCAAGAGATTGGGCTCTTCTAACCATAACACCAGGTGAAGTTTACTGGGTTGAAATGTCCTTTGTTTTGTGTGATCTTTCAGTTTAATCACCTACTCTTTGTGTCATATTTCATCTAACGTAATAGAGTAGATAAACGTAACGATCTCAACCCTTGTGTTGTTGTTATTCCCATACAGTGGCCAAAGGACAGCCTTACTACGACGCCGAGGGCAACTACTACGACGTCCATCCCGCGATGCACGAGTCCACAGCCCACGGTTCCGACGACCCGATGAGGGCGCTCACCGGAAATCACGAAAACAGCGGCGGTGCCCTCCCCGCCAAAGAAGATGACGGTAAAGACACGCCCCTCAGCAACACGCCCGTCCCTCACTACTACGACGACTTCCTGAAACGGGACGACGTGCCGGACTTCAAATATCTGGACGAGGCGGAGTCCTCCAAGGACGCTGTTTTGTCCCCGAATAATATCAACAAGCAGGGGGACGGCGACACGGCCCTGACAATGCGGCACAAACCGTACGACGACGACGACACGCTCTACCACCACGCCTACAAAAACAACGCCACCCAGGTTCCGCGCAATCAGTCCACGCTTGCCGGGTTTCCCGTGCGCCAGTTCAATCACACGTTTGACGATGTCCAGTCCGGGAACGGCAGCAGCTGCGACGTCATAACTCACTCCGGATGTGACGTCATACACTACGAGCGATGCGACCCGCTGAGTGGAAAGTGTCGGTGTTTGAATGGCTACCTCCGAGAAAACGCGCTTAGTGGGGTGGGGGCGTGTAAGGGTGCAAGTTTTTACCACGGCCACCTCACGGTTCGGGCGCCAGGAGTCGAGCAGTCGTACACACAGCAGCAGCTCCAGCCGATAAAGCTCAGGCTCATGACGCTGATACAGCTCACGTTTAAGAAGCAGAACATACAAGGAGTCCTTGACTTGGCAATTCACTCTATCGAGAAACAGGGTCAGCGCATGACGCTGTCCTTTGAGCTCGGCATGGACAAAGCACTGACCTCGGGCCTGGGCGACATCCAGAACGTGCTGAGCCAGGAGCTCATGGTGACCCCAAGGGGAGATCTGTTGCTCGAGTCGGCGTCGAGGGAGGCCAGCCTCAACGACAGCGAGTTCTCGAGACTGTTCTCTCCCCTCGTGGAGGTGAACCCGTGCATCGACGACGAGCACAACTACTGCGGGGATCACGCCGTCTGCCGGTACGCCAGCGACATGGTGTCTTGCCAGTGCCAGCACGGCTACAACGACCCTTCTCCGAACCTCTACAGACTGCCGGGGGAGCTCTGTGTCGAGAAATGCAGCTGCCACAACGGCGGTCTGTGCGTCGACGACGATATCCCCCTGGGCACGAAGCAGTGCAGCTGCCTCAAGTGGTACTTCGGCGCCCAGTGCCAGATCGACGGCAAGGAGGTGATGGTCATCTGCTTGAGCAGCCTGGGGAGTTTGATCCTGCTGGGGCTCCTCCTGTGCTGCTGCTACTACGGCTGCAGCCGACACAAGGACAACAGCGTGCGGTCGAGGATGCTCCATTTCTCGCCGGACGTCAGCATCCTCAAACTGCCGCGGGTCTGGATGGACACGACCACGAGCTTTCAAGAGAACGACACGTCGCCGCCCAACGACCGGAGGCTGAGCATCGCCTCGGAGAACCCATACTTTGACGGGTACATCCTGGAGGACATCCCGCTGAGTACACTCCCCAGACATACCGAGTCGCACTCGCCGTACTATCAGGCAACACTAGGCCACCACCCGGCAACCATGTCTTCTCATTCGTTTTATAGATACTGAGACAATAGCCTCGTTCTTTTATCTCATGAGTGACGATTTTTATACTAGTCATTAAAGACTTCTAAAACAGTGGCGTAGCTAAGGTTTAGTGCCCGCGCCGGGTTGGGCTAAGATTTTTGCCACCTCCTTTTACAATACAAAAACACTTGCAGTTGGTCGAAAAGCCGCCTCTCGCTAAAATGGGCGCCCAGGACCACCCTTCCTACGCCACTGCAACAAAATTAAGCTGAACAAAGAGAGCATTTCTTTATTTGTTCTACTGCTAATATGACTCCACTTTACTTGTTGTTTTAGTCAAATTACATTTCTACATAAAAAGTCATAAAATGTCTTTTGTCTTGTGACTTATAGGGGAAAAATGTGTATCGTTGGGGGTTAGGGGGAAGGGGGAGGGCTCGAAATTTCGGAACACCTTAGAACTCGAACAACCAGGAATCCGTACGAAAATTTTCGCTCTAAAATCTGAACGCCAAGCACGTTCATTTTCCCCAGAACTCTTGCCAACCATACGCCACTGCCCCCTACCAACCATACGCCACTTCCCCCTACCAACCATACGCCACTGCCCCTGCCAACCATACGCCACTGCCCCCTGCCAACCATACGCCACTGCCCCCTGCCAACCATACGCCACTGCCCCCTGCCAACCATACGCCACTGCCCCCTACCAACCTTACAGGGTGGGCCAATAAAAGTGAGAACATCTCCTAAAATATACGCTACGAGATGTTCTCACTTTTATTGGCCCACCCTGTATGCTTGTTCAGTTCGATGTCGGAAAATGTAGGGAAAGCATCTCTTGTGATTTTGGGCTGTTAATTGTATAATTTTGAGCTCGTTTTGTGTTATTTATACGGTATATATATATATATATATATATATATATATATATATATATAATAACAACTTAAGTGTATTCGCCGTGACTCTTAAAAAGTGTAGTGAGGAAAACAAGAGGAGGAAAGATGTTATCGCTACAACTGAAGATAAGACAGCATGGAATCGGAACACGTATGGTTGGTGTTCGGATTTATAAATGGAATGTTCGTACGATTTTGAAAAAATACAGATGCTATCAAAGCCAGCTGAAAGGGTCAAAGGGGGTCAAGGACACTGACCTCGAAGATATGGAAAAGCATGGAGGAGATAAAGTAATAATTTTTTTTTTTTTTTTTTTTTTAAACAACTGGTTGATGATGTGATTTCTGAAACGAAAATTTGAGAGAAAGCAAAGGTCCACCACGATAATGTATAGTAAACAAAGGGGGTCAAGGACACTGACCTCGAAGATATGGAAAAGCATGGAGGAGATAAAGTAATAATTTTTTTTTTTTTTTTTTTTTTTAAACAACTGGTTGATGATGTGTTTTTTGAAACGACAATTTGAGAGAAAGCAAAGGTCCATCACGATAATGTATAGTAAAAGGCCTGATACTACTGTTCAGAAGGAGGAGTTTAAAACTAGTAGGTAGGGGCCAGTGGCGTAGCTAGGGTTGGTGTCACCCGGTGCGGTAAACTCGGTTAAACCGAAAAGGGTGTGCTTTGTACGCATGCGATTTTTCAATTTGGTGTCCCCCCTAAAATGGTGTCACCCGGTGTGGTCCGCCCCCCCACCCTAGCTACGCCACTGGTAGGGGGTGATTCGAAAAAAAAATTTAAAAAAAGGAAAAAAAGAAATGGGATTCAATAGAGCAGCGTTTCCCAAACTGTTAAGTTTCACGGACCTGTGGATACGTTTCGAAACTGCACCAGGGACCGGTGCCAGATTTATTCATTACATTTTCTTTCTATTTAAACATCAATATTCATGCTCCCTGGACCGGTAACGTAAGGCTTGCGGACCAGGTGCCGGTCAACCGTTTGGTAAACGCTGCAATAGAGGACGTGACAGTTTCTATTATTTTAAAGGAAAACAATTGCCTTGGAACTCGTCCGGGGTTCTGGAACGGATTAAGTTCGGATTCAAATGTCCCATTGTTCACTAACATTACGATGAATGCGGGATTAAAGTAGCAGAATCACACAAAAAGTGGGTGGGGAATATGTTAACTACAGAAGCTATTCAAAAATTGCTTCAAAGCATTAATAGAGTACCAAAAAAAAAGTGTGGAGTGGGAGGAAAGATTTGGAGATTCCCTTTGACACGTCGTGAATACCTTGGGACTATCAAACTAATGCTAATAGAGCACATGTTTCCAAGTTTTTGAAGTCTAACTTAGCCGAACAAATAAATTATGTTAACACCGGTCGCATGCCATTAACAACCTGGATGTACGTCCTTGTGAAATAATGATAATTAGCATATTTTAATGGCCTATGTCAGGCCTGCACAACATACGGCCCGCATGCGTCCCGCCCGCACCCAATTTGTGGCCCGAGAGGTTATGAAATATTCTTTATTCTTATCTTAATAACTTTTCTCCTGTCCTATTTTCTTTTGGCCCGCACAAGTTTTTTCATAAAGTATTTCGGCCCACCTTACATTTTGAGTTGTGCAGGCCTAGCCTATATCATAAGATTATACACAAATCTCAGATTTAATTTAGTAGGAACGTATGACGTCTCCTTTTAGATTGAGAAGTCACATATATATATTTTAAAAAATTTTTTGTGGCTTGCATTAAATAGTCTTGGAATGGAAACGGGGGAGAGAAAACAAAGGATGTGGGGATCCAAGGCCTCACCGAAAATTTTTGTTCATTCAAAGTACGAGGAGCCATTTTATGCATGCACATACATAAAATTAGTATTGCAGTAATATTCAGAGAAATGCTATTATTTTTTAAATATATTTAATTGTTACTAAATACTTAGTACTGGTGTATCAGTAGTGGGCCGTAACGCCACAGGGATGGATGGATGGTATCAGTGGTGGGCCGTAACGCCACAGGGATGGATGGATGGTATCAGTGGTGGGCCATAACGCCACAGGGATGGATGGATGGTATCAGTGGTGGGCCGTAACGCCACAGGGATGGATGGATGGTATCAGTGGTGGGCAGTAACGCCACAGGGATGTTGTGGTGATCTGACTTATGACTTATTAGAGAGGAGTGTCTCTCGTATGAGATCTCCTCTTGGCACTCTATCTAGGGATATGTTATTTAAGCCGAACAACCACACGGACATAACACCTATCTATATACATATAGTATAGACTGAAACGAAGTCCTAGTTAAAGGTGAAATTAACTACAAATATTTATTACACAATAATATTTACAACTTCCTACGTGAAACACTCGTGGTGCTCAATGTATATACATCAAACGGATTTCATCCAATTAGAAAGGTATATTAACACAAAGCAAGTGTCCCTAACATACAGACGGTATCATCATTACTATTGCTATATTGCTCAAGTTCTATGCTCGATCTTGGTAAACTTAGCCTTTATAGATTCTGTGATGGTCTCGGTGGATCACACAGTGTGGGAGTCCTTCTGTTCAAGAAGCAGTGTCCCTGTTCCGGCCTTCGGTGCTGTTCTGAGCGTAGCGAAGTCGGAGTTCCCGGTCGTAGAGTCCTTGGGATGTCTGCGAGGGGAAGATGACTCTCCCGCGATAAATCGTGGTGGTGAGAGTCCCTGGATCTCGAAGTCCTAGCTGTCAGGTAGTTTGGTGTAGGATGTAGATCATCCCCTAGTTCCAGCTCGAGGTAAGTCGGTCCAGTAGTAGAAACCAGGTAGTACTCTAGGTAGCAGTTGCAGTTAAGTATCACGCCAGTGAAGTACTAAGTCTAGTCACTTCAAGCGTCCACAATCAAGTGATCAGATCTTAAAAGTCATGTACTTGCTAATATCCTAGGATGCAGTTATGTATCATGCTGACGAAGTTCTGAGTGCAGATCCTTCCAGCATTCACCGTCAAGTGATCAGATCATAAAAGGCAGAATCTTGCTTGTTCAGGCTATTTATTCGAGTTCGATGACGATTAGCTGATGGTTCAATTGGGTGATTCACATGAGGGGTCAATTTTCCATCCAATGAAAATCACTTTCACTGTTGCGGGTTTGACCTTCAACCCTCAAGGTTAATCGGACTGAGGTGACCATCCTTTTTCAGGCTTTGGCGTGAGTTCTCTGTCTAGACAATGCATTTCCAGCAAGGGACGATACTCCGCCTTGCTGTCTACAGGGCAAAAATGAGGGGGGGAATGGTATTATTTCCTCAAGGTTGTTCGGTGGGATGGTTGACCGCAAATAGCATGTTCGGGGGGGTGAGCGAACTGGTGCAGGAATGTGATATCACAAGGGAACTCACTCGTGCAGAGCGACTTCGGGGCAACTTTAGGGGAGGGAAAGGAGTTATTATACAAGGGCCTCCAAGGGCGGCTTTACGATATAAGAACTTTTACAAAGTCCAGCCTCAGATCGTCACAGATGTATGGATGGATGGTATCAGTGGTGGGCAGTAACGCCACAGGGATGGATGGATGGTATCAGTGGTGGACCGTAACGCCACAGGGTTGGATGGATGGTATCAGTAGTGGGCCTTAACGCCACAGGGATGGATGGATGGTATCAGTGGTGGTCCGTAACGCCACAGGGTTGGATGGATGGTATCAGTAGAGGGCCGTAACGCCACAGGGATGGATGGATGTTATCAGTGGTGGGCCATAATGCCACAGGGATGGATGGATGGTATCAGTGGTGGACTGTAACGCCACAGGGATGGATGGATGGTATCAGTGGTGGGCAGTAACGCCAAAGGGATGGATGGTATCAGTGGTTGCATGCTGGCTGAAGAGGTGCTGCCACCAACCCCCTAGCGCTACCCGGGGAACATAACCACCATTGCGTAATCCTTCGTGGGTCGTTAACCTTGGTCGGCAACTCATCTAAGAGAAGGAAACTCTGAATTCAAACCCGGAGTTGGAGTCCCGTAAGGCGCATACAATGTCAATTCCTGCAACCGTACCCATCCCTAGTCGTCTTGACGTAGAGTCTTGCCACTGGATATGGTGGGCTCGGACGAGAGAGTGAGGTTGACGCTGCGCAACTCTTCCTCACTTTAAACAAAAGTCACCCGCGCAAGTCATCAGTCACCAGACGACTCGATGGTCATCGTCATCGTCTTGACGTAGAGTCTTGCCACTGGATATGGTGGGCTCGGACGAGAGAGTGAGGTTGACGCTGCGCAACTCTTCCTCACTTTAAACAAAAGTCACCCGCGCAAGTCATCAGTCACCAGACGACTCGATGGTCATCGTCGATCCTCGACGGACGAACAATCCTTCGTGGGCCAACAAAGGGCAAGCATTGGTATCTACCGAAATTGTAGCAACAACAGTGTGAACTGTAGCCTTTACCAGCGTTGGTCATATCAACAGTTGAAATAACTTTAATGGAAGAAAAAGGGTAGGGATCATGATTACTATGTTGCCAATGACGGATATGAGGCGGGTAGTGAAACCCTCATGCTAATGATTCTATACACAGCCATATTTGAGAAGGCTGTTCCTAGGCAACTGTTTCCTAATTATAATATTATATTGTTATCTAGGTTACTTCACCCAAAATCTGGGGCTTTGGTATTTTAATATAGTCATGGAAAGCTATACTTATTAGTTGAGTAGCCTACACATACTTATACTTATATTGACACCAGTACTTATTTTAACCCATTTCCCAACCAATCAATGTACCTTGCACATGGCCACAAAAGAGGCTGAGTATGTTGCTCTTCCTTGAGAAAATGGTTCATTCTCTTGTAAGATCGAGCCTCTTATGACTTTGGCTGATGTATCTTGAGCAAGTCTTAACATTAGACAATTAGTTGAGCACAGGTTTCTGTGTTTGACATGTCAAGACCTCCGCGGCTCTACAGTTTTAGTGGCCAGGTTACAGCTCTGTTTCCTACCCGAGTCGAGGTGGGTAGCTACGTGTTGGACAGTGCTCCGTTCACATCTGTGCAATTAGGCTTTGTTAGCTATATGCTAGTTTCCACCAGGGGTCACAGCATGTTTTTTGGTATGGCTGTCGTGTCGTCTATCGACCAGACGTTGATCCGCTCTTCCCGAAAGTGGTCTTTGAGCCAGGTCTTCTGGTTGTGCCAGCCATGAGACACAAATCTTCATCTCCTTGAGGGCCTGGGATTTGCATCACCCAAACCACTTGTCCAGGGAGTCATTCTGGCTTCGGCGTGCCATGCCAGGTTCTTTGGCTTTGGACGGTGGAAGTAAAATGTATTACATATATAATTTTTCTTCTTAACTATAACTAAGTGACAAGAAATAGAGCAAAAAATCAAATCAGTAACGTCTTCATTTAAACCCTTTCACAGCACACCATTTAGAGGGTCAAATTTTTACACTGTTAATTAAATATCATATAGTCATAGACCTGTGTTTATCAACTTAAATTTCATATATTGCTATAAGAATATAAAAATCAACAACACAAAATAAAAATTACTCATGTATTTAATTTTTAATGAGTTATTTTAAAAAAATGTATTCCTTAATCCATGTTATGGCCATAAGTTTTAGACAGGTATAAATTATAATAATGAGACATAAAAGTTATCAAAGAAAGTTTAATTAAAATTATGTTCAAAAACAAACTGGACACCCAAATGCGTGTAAAGCAGGAGTAGCTTTGAATAAAAAATAGACACATCCTGCACCGTCAACAAGTTGAATTTCTATTTTAAGCCTTTTTCAGCATGTCAGCTTGTTCACTGAAACATTCTTAAAAATGTTCTACATCTCATTCGATAGTGTAAATCGTTAAACTTGTGTATCCATGTTAACGAATCCTTAGAGAATGCTGCAGTGGGAGGTTTCATCTATGTGGAAAGTTTGCAAAATTTTCCTTTTTGTGTGATAACATAAACAGCCAGTATCAACATATAATGAATATGAACATTTGAATAATTAAAAATAAAAAAGATGCTGTGGATCTATCCACGTAATTGGAATTTCGTCACTGAAATTTGTTCCTTTCTAAGACTGCCGATAAAAATTTAATATATATAAATAAATATAATAGTTTCAGCGTAAAAATTTGACCTGTTGATCTGCGGAATTAGGTTTTTAATACAAAAAAAAAACACAAAAAAAAAACATCTTACGGTTTGCATAAAATTTTTTTAAAAGAAAAAAAATTATGTTTAGCGATTAAAAATTTTTCTAATGATGACTTTAACAAAACATATAATCAGTAACATCTTCATTCAAGCCATTTAGAATTTCATTAACATTTATGTATCATGACTGAAATTTCAATAGCCAAAAAAAAATTGTGTCAAATGAGTTATGTACATTTGAAATAGACAAAAAAAAAAATTTGTTACTGTATTTACAATGATAATTTAAGTTTTAATGAGTGAGGATGTTATAGATTTTTAATGAATTGATAAGTGAAAGGACACAATTTTTTGTTTGTTTAATGTATACATGTTAAGAAAATCATTAAATGGGAAAGGCAGTGAGGATTGTTTTACAAATCTCCAAAAGAACATAGAGTTCTTCCTTGAAAATTTTTCTAATTCAAAAATGAATTAAGCAAGGAAAAAGTTTGGTTGGTCAATAAAGAATCTTTTTTTTTTACTTCTTCAATTTTTTCACTTGGTTTTTACCGGTGGTGGAGTCATTTTCTTTATCGGAGCGTGACGAGGAGCCCAGTGCTTTGTGCTGCTGTAGCTGGACGTGCCTGGTCACCATGGATACGCCGTCAACAAACTTGGTGCGGAACAGCACATTAGCATTGTTGAACATTCCATCTTTGAGTGAGACCACGATGAACTATGCAAGAAAAAACACATTTATACAGGCCTTATATTTATTTTAAACAATAACTGTGACCGGCTGTAGAACACCAGAATCCAATATTCTAACATGCTCAACCATTATATTACCAATCTATTTATTAAATGCTTACCAGGAATGTGAACAGACTTAACAAGTCAAAGAAACCACCCCCTACCTGAGAATGCTTGAAATGAGACTTGATCATCTGGCCAATGTTCTGTGTGTGGGACAGGTCCAGAGCAGCATCGACCTCATCAAGAATATAGATTGGGGCAGGTTTGAACAGCAACATTGCAAGGATCAGCGACAGAGCCACCAGTGATCTGAAAATTTAGATTTTTAATATTTGTTTTTACCACGCACATCTGGCTTTTTTAAACATGGAACTTAGAATTCAAAGCTGGACTTTTAGGTAGCATATTAAGAAATGTTAGCAATTTATAATAAGCCACAGCATTTGTTTATCTAACCCAATGATATATAACTGGTCTGTCAAAGCTGTGTTGCAAGTTTTAATATAAATGAATTAAAATCAAATTAAAAAGAGTTTTTGAGGGAAAAGTATACTAAAAATTATAGTCAAATGATATAATCCTAATAATCCTATATAAAATTATTGATTGTGGAGAATTTGTGACACTTTGTGACAGGGGGAGGGTAACAAAATTTGTGACGTCAATTTTTGTTAAAATCTAAAATTTTCTAATTTTGAAAAATCTTTATTTAATTAATTTTAAAAACATTAATTTGAGGTCGAAATTGCCTCAGGTATTATAAGTACTATGAAACTCAGTCGCTCACACCTTTTGCGCATATAGAAAAATGATGCAAAAACTGTTGTGGCCAATTTACATTGGGCTTGTGGATGACTTCATTGTTTCGCGTCACAATTTTCTAATAATATTACGTCTTAATCGATTATGGGAAAATGTTAAAGAATAAAATAAAATCTTACTTGAGTTATGAAAATTGTTATGTATGTTTTGATTTTTTTAGGTGTGATGTGACACTGTGTGTGTGTGTGCGTGTGTCTAAAATGGTCATTTTTTTGCATGACGTAATTTACGAACGACTCCTAAAGATGATCTAGAAAATGACCCTAAAAATTGACATGTTTTCTAGAAGAAAAACAGCAGCCATTCAGAGAAATTAAAAAACCCGGAATAGCTAAATCGTTCCTATCCTTCTGATAAAATGACTGAAAATGGTCACACAGATTTTTGAATCAATGCTCTTGTAGATTGACTTATTTATTATAGACTCTTTCATAAAAGGATAAGGTATCAAGCCCAAATCTGAACTAAAACAAGTTAACATGGCTGAAAACATTCTACTAACCTTTGACCCCCACTAAGTTCCCCCAGAGATTCTTTCCAGACAGCACCAAAGGCAACCTTGACCTCTAAACCATCTAACACAGATTGGCCTTCAGGAGGGCATAGTTTGGCTTGAGTTCCAGGAAGGAGTGTAGAGAAGATTGACCCAAAGTCCTAAATTAGAGGAAAATATAAAATGAAAAGTGATATGTAACAGAACCCATCTATAACGCAGTGAATTAAACAATGCATTAACAATCAATAACAATGTTTAAAAAAAGATGTCTTATTATTACTTTTTCTTATCTTCTATGAATGAAATGTCTCACCTTGTTCACTTGTTCCCATGCTTTTATCAAGGCTGCTTTCTTTTTCTTATCCAACTCTTCAATAACAGAAGCAATTTTGGCCTTATCATTGAGCACAACTTTCCTCTTCTTCATTAAATCTGTATACTAGATTTAACAAAATTGCATTCAATTACGTCATCTAAATCTAAAGATATATTTCCCACCATTTCCCAAGATACATTATTTAATTAATAAAATCAATGTATCAAATAGTTATAGGCATGTCATTTTTTTTATATTATTGAATTTTATAACACATTGATAGGCAATTATGTAAACACTGAGATTTGATTGTAAAAATACAAACCAAAATCAGGGGGTGTAAAGAAACAAATAGATAAAAGTATAATTTGAAATAACTATTTACGACACACACAAAAAACAGCATTTGACAGGTGCACTAACTTGTTCATCTGCATGGCCCAGAAGATTCATGGCTCGCACATTGACATTTTTAGAAAGTTTATTTTTAGTCTCTGTCAACTTCTGTATTCTCTTCTCAGCTTCCTTTGGATCTTGTGTGGTGAAGTCGTAAATGCTGTTGGGCTGCCCAAAGAATTGGCGTTCATCTGCAATCCAGTCATACTTTTCTAACAGGGACTCAACCTGAAAATTTTTAATGTGACATTAAGTCATGGAGGTTCCCAAAATTGTAACTTTATCAATGGAACAAAATGGAATAATTATGGACCAGCATTAATCTATCTATATTCTTTTAAACCCTTCTAGTACCATTGAGCTATATGGTGTAAGTTGCTGTATAATGTTAGCAACATCATGATTGAAAACATTAATTCCCAAGTATCACTGTGCCAAATGATGTACGTCTAGTTTGAAAAATCATGAAATTTCATGTACGGTATTTAGATTAGAAGAGGAAATGGCACAGATTAATCACAAGCTAAGGGAAGAAAAAAAAAAGCCAATGAAGCTTACATATCTATTTGATTCCTTAGAGTCTTTTTGAAACTTTGCAATTTTGTGTTCAAGCTCTTGAATTCTAAGCCCACCGTCATTGAATTCTTTGTTAAGCTCTTTCTTTTCTCCATCTTTTTGTGCAATATCCTGGTTGTATGATTTCAGTGTTTCTTTATGTTTATTCAGGGCATCCTGTGCCTGCTGCACCTGGGCCTGTCAGAAGAAACGTAGGGAAATGTTAAAATGATCCCAAACTTGTTCAAATATTTAACCTTTTAATCAAGTGTCCTATTCATACTTTAAGAAAAATGATTTAAAATTAATGTTTAACCTCACCTTTGATGCCTGATGTTCCTCATCCAGTTCCTTGAGGCCCTGATCAATAGACGCTATTGATTCAGCAACGGCCTCAAGCTGTTCATGGTATGATTGCATTTCTTTCTGTAATGTTTCTATTTCAAGTCTGATGCTGTCAACTTCCTGAATTGTTTAATGTATTTTATGAATAAAAAGTTTCAGTTTCAAAAATGAATAAAATGCTGAGCTGCATACCTCTAAACTAAAATGGCTATTAAAAAAAAATACATACACCTGCACACATACAAATTACCATTAAATTAAGGATATTTCAATTCATAAAAACCATGTAACTGGCTGAAAGTGAATCATCACCACAGACCTGCAAATCATCCTTAGATTTAACGATAGCCTCTTCCATGACTTTCTTGCTTTTTGCCACTCTTTGCTCAGCTTCTTTAAGTTCTTTTTCTCTTAAAGCTGAAGCATTCACCAGCTTGTCCTCCAGGTCTTTGACTTTTTGCTTTGCCTTTTGTTGGATCTCTTGTGCCTCTTTAAGAATTCTGTTCTGTTCCTCTGTAAATACACAACCACAGCATAGCAAAAAAAAATAAATAAAAATAAATAAAAATAATCATGTAACATTCTCATGTACTGATATTTGTGACAATGGTACAGACCTGATGACTAATGAAGAAACAGAAGAAGAGGCAGATAGATTAGGGTGCAAGGTGAATTAATCAAATTCGTGCTGCTTAAAAAAGATATATTCTTGACTGAATTTTAACAATGCAATTGAGGACACTTCATCAAGAAATGTATATGTGAAATTGCCAAATAAGATTTTTATATATCAGTTATAAAATATACACATAGCTGAGTGAATAGTAAAAATAGATTATTCAGACAACCAGGCCCCTTGGCAGAACACCAACCTTGTTAGTAAACATAGTAGGCAGGATACAAACAAGACACAACCTTTTACTTCAGAAATTTTACCTAATGTAAGTATAGTTAAAATGTTTTAAATGCAATATAAATAACTCCAACTAAACTGATTTTTTTTTGCTGGTGTTCATATTGAAATAAGAATTTATGTCAATAGCATGAAAACATTTTAAAATATGCAAACAAATGAAATAACTTTAAAAGCTGCAAGAGTTTAACTAATTTAAATCTTAGATAACAAAACATTTTAATACTGTGAGATATTCCCACACTGAACTCACCAACAGATGCTTTAAGGGCATTGACCTCTTCTAACTGTTGGTGATGACTGCTCTGTTCAAGCCTGACTCTCAACTGCTCGGCTTCCTGAACTTTTAGATCATACTGCTGCTTAGCTTCGGTATATCTGGTATTAAAAAAAAAAAAAAAAAAAAAAAAAAAAAAAAAAAATAAAAAAAAAAATATAAAAAAAAAAAAAAAAAAAAAAACCTGAACTTTTAGATCATACTGCTGCTTAGCTTCGGTATATCTGGTATTAAAAAAAAAAAAAAAAAAAGAAAGAAATAGAAATAATTTAATGTAAATCTTGTGTAATGACACACAAAAAAAAACCCTGATATTTTTTCAATGCTGAAGTTTATTATTCAAATATAAATGTATATTCTTGGTTATCTTAACGATAAAAACGGTTAGAGCCCAATGAATGAAGCAAAAAAATTACCAAAAACGGATTGTAAAATATGTGTATAGTGAAAGAATTATTAGATGAAAAAAAAAATGATTTGAAAAGTTGAAAAGCTTTCAGAATATGAATTATAGTTAGTGCAATCTATAATTTAAAAAAAAAATTATTTCTCTTTATTTATGTTTTACTGCCCTAGTGAATTAAGCCCCCACCCCCTTCCCCCATGTACGTTTAATACAATAGTCACGGTACAGAAGATTGTAAAAGATTTATTGATTTGAGTATTGAAGAGAAAAAACAAATTGTTCAGTAGTAAGTTCAACTAAATTTACAAAATGATAAATGTAAATACATAACTTACTTGCCGGCCACCTTCTTCATTGCACCCAGCTGTTGGTCTAGCAGAGCCAAACGATCAGATTTAGTCTTTAGCTCTTCCTCCATTTGTCGCATTTCTTGAAGCATTGCCAACACAGAGGCACTTTGTGTTCTTGCACCTTTCAGAGTAAAAAGATATGTGATATTCTTTTGACAGACGGTTATAATGACCACAATTTTTTTTTATTCATTTAAAGGTCAGAGCCAGGGTGAATATGTTTAAAAGGATTTCATTTAAGAGATTGAACCAACACATACAAAAGATACATACTTTTTAAATTAAATAATTAAATCACTAGAAACATAACAGTTTATTATTGATACATTGAGGAAATGTTGGACTCAAGTAAGCAGGGCAAAGTGGTCATTTTGTAATTGAAATAAACTGGCTAAAAAAAAAATTATTATTTTTTTTTACTTCATTGAAGCACATTATGATAAGAAATGATCCCAAATAAATCAAAATCACTATAAGAGCATCTTACCTCCAGAAAGTGTACCAGCCGGGTCAACAGTGTCCCCCTCTAGAGTCACACATTTCTTCATGATCTTTGGATCATAAGCTACCTTGCTGGCAGAATCTATATCAGCACAAACAAGCACAGATCCAAAGGCAAACTCCATGATAGGTTGGAATTTCTTGTCATAGGTGATCAGGGAAAGGGCACTTTTAACTTTATCTTTACCAACCTAAAAAAAACACAAACCAATAACTATTGAAATACTTCTTTTATAACAATTATCTGTAGTTTATTCCCAAGGTAACAATAAACCATGACTCTTAAATAAATTAATCGTGAAGAGATTTATTTTGTAGCATGAATGGAGATATTGGCTTAGGAAAGCAAAACCTTTTCCATTTTCATGGGATCTCAAAACCAATAAGACCCTTAGCTGGGCATTGATAATATTGGCTATGTGATAATATTGGTTATGTTTTTATAGTGGCGCTCAACCCTACCACTCAATCATCTCACAAGATCTTTTTGTTGCTTTTAGGATGGCTGTGCGTCATATCAGACAGGAAGCATAAGCTAAGGATCAAGTCGCAACACCACCAAAATGTATATTTTTCCTAAATGGGATCACTATAAATATTACCTAAAAGTTATCTGTTCATTTTCAACAATTTTAGCTAATCTAAAAATACAAATTTACCACCATAGACAAATTAACTTTAAAAATAAAACAGGAGTGGGAATGTATAAAAGGACTTACTAATTCTTGTGCCCTCTTTAGTGTAGCATCATCAATTGACCTGCTGGTTATTTTATTGATTGGAAGGATGGTACATCTCCTCTTCAGTTCTCCATTCTTAAGAAGAGTCTTGCCAGTCATTTCATTGTCCACAACAACGTTGTACAGCTGTCAATAATAAAATAAAAACTTAAGAGCAACAAGATAAACAATGTTCGCACATAATATAAAAATAAATTTCTCAATTAAAACTATCCATCTATAACTGCAGATTTATGGCCCACCTTTCCTCCAGCTGTTACTTCAAGGGCTGTAGAATGAATGGGATCCTTCACATCAAACAGTCTACAAACCAATCCTGAAACTTTATTCCGATCAAAGTTTTTGTCTGGGTTTTTGTACTCAAATTTAAGGTTTGGGTACCTGTAAGAAGATCAATTAAATTTCATTACATAGCTGTAGTTAGCACACACAAAACTGAGCATGAGAGAATAAATAGTGTAATTTCTTCATTAAATGTATGTATGACATTTTAAATTAATTTTTTTCACATTCAATTATTTACTTGCAGATTTTAATCTACATATTTGCTCGTTCAAGACCATACAGAATTTATAAGTCTCTATTTTAAAAATTTTGTCAAACTACTTCATGTTATTTGCCAATGGAGTAGGAATTTTTAAGTAGAAATCTATGTTAGCCAAGCAACTATAAGTAGAAAGCATTCTTTTTGTTGCTAACCAAGCAAATCTTACCTGGCTTCGAGAGTTAAAACCCTCTCTCTAAGAAGCTGGACCTCACCAACAAGTGTCCTCCTCTCTCCAGCTAATGTTTCCTCTGAGCCTTCTTCATACCCAAACTTCTTCATCTCATCCTAAAGAAATTATAGATTATAAATTGTTTTGTTACGTACATAAATCAAATAAATGCTTAGGTAGCAGGCTGGAAGAAAAAGTGACCATCACAAAATTCTATTTGTATTCTTCCAACTTCAAGTTAAGACTAAGGGGAAAAGTTTGATCATTTAATCATAAATACTTTTAATTAAATCATGAATTGTAAAGTAAATTACTAAAGAGAAATTTTGCTGATTTTTAGAAACATTTTATTAAAAATATGCATATTTCAGCTTTTTAAGAATAATGAATAAGCTTTATTTTGTTACAGCACTTGTTTTCATAATTTATTGATAAGCATACTATTTCAGTTAAACAAACATCCCAATTTCTGATTTTAAGTTTGATAGGAAACCAGCAACAAAAAAAATAATAATATCCTAATCATGAGGTGTTAACTAGTGTTTATTTAAAGACACAAACCTCCAGTTTGCTGAGGTTCTTTTTCACTGCTTCATAAGTGGCCTGGTCCTTTTTATAGTTCAGTTCAGTTTTCTTTAAATCTGACTCTTTTGTCTTGATCTCTTGCTGTGCATGCTTCAGTCTAAATTATGTAATGTAAAAATTAATATTTTAATTTAACCTTTAATTTAAATTCAAAGATATGCATTCCTTCCATTTGGGCATGCATTACATAAAAAATAAATAAATTTAAAAAAAAACTCTTTGCAGATCAAAATGATGCAATGCTTTATTAAACATCTTAAATATAAAAAAAAAAAGTTCCCGTCTGTACGAATTTACTAGTGTGCTCCCCCAGAGGTTACCAAATCTAAATGATCACTAATTAAGTCAATATTGTCACTGAGGGAGTTCGCTGATAAATACTTTAGATATCTTGTGTTTAAATTATTTTAATTTTACACTTTTCTTGGTTAAAATATGTATTTATTAATTTATGATTATGTGCTGAAAATGAATATGCACAGTGTAATAAAAAAAGTTCCAATTATTTGGACCAATAAAAGAATCTTATCTTATTTTATGATATCGTTAAATCAACTTGGGAAGCATAATTATGACTGTGCAGACTGACATGATTTGATTGTGTTATGTGGTTTTTCCAAATTGTTACTAAATTTATAAAACTGAAACCTAAGAAAAGTAAAAACGGAAATTTATATTTTTAACAAGGCCCCGACTGGCAAAACAAACAAACCATTAGAATTAAAGCAACATGCATTTTCGTGTGTTGAAAAAAAAAAGATTCTGTATATCCCATTTGCTTTAAACGTAAGGTTTATCATTTCTAAACCTAAGCAAACTATTAAAAATTTTTTAAAGCATAGTGATACTTTGAGGTGTGTTCTTCAACTTCAACATTTATTTATATATATATATATATATACATGTATACATATATATTTATTTGAGAAACATTGTAAGCACTTTTTAACACATCAGACCTGTTTACCCTCAAACTCTTGAAATAGTACAATATCATAAAAAAATTTGTTCAATACATTATCTTAATAGCAAAAAAATAAACATACAGTATATACAATGTATACACCTCAAAATCGTACATTGTACGCCAAAATCATAAGAGTAAACATGTCTGACACCCCCCCCCCCTTTTTCTACAAATACAATAAAAATATAGACAAAAAATTTCAAAGTAAGTACAAGAACACTTACCTCATTAGAGCTTGTTTAGTATCTGTTTCTGCTTTACTTATATCACTCTTGGCAGCTGTTTACAACACAATAAAAGATTTAAAATAAAAATCCAGACATGTCAAATTATAACTTGAATAAATTATGATCCCTAATCCAGTCTATGAAACTAAACCCCACCCCTCCAAGAATAGTTGAGAATAAACAACTATACAAGAGTTAAAGTTCTATCTTTATTGAGATGAGTTGAAATACACTAAATGTGCTGTTGCCCCCCCCCCGACTTACTTATGAGTTGATCATTAAGAGTTGCTGCTTCGCCATCTTCATTGGCAGACAACCCAGCACTAACGGCCTGATAGTGTTTCTTTGCTGCCTCATAGTCTTTCTCAGCATTGACCTTTTCAGTTCTCATTTTCTCTGCATTGGCTTCAATCTTATTCAAATCTTTCCCTCTACTGACAATGGTGGCTTTATTCTAAAACAAAAAAATGCTGTATATTTTGTGTTTGTAAACATTCTTAATGAATTTTTTGTACCTGCAATGTAGTTGAACAGCATTAAGTGATTCTAAAATAAAAATATTTTAGATACTCACATCTGCAATATTCTTATTGATTTCTTTTTCCCTCTTTTGTTCTGACTTAAGAGCATCTTTCTTGGCGTTGATAGCACCTTGGACTTTGACATCTAGAGACTTTTTCTCTGCTAATTCTGTCTCAAGTTTGGACATCACACTGCCAGATTCCTGCATTTTGTTGAGAATTAAATTAAAGGCTGACAAAAGATGCTAACCACTATGGCAGAAAAATTAAAAAGACTTTTACTTAAGTACTATGAGGCACTTATTGGTAGAGATGCATTGAGTTCATTCACTATCAGACCTGTTTACTCTTACGATTTTGGCGTACAATGGACGATTTTGGGGTGTATTTATTATATATACACCATATTTTTTTTATACTAAACTATTAAGATACTGCATTGAACGATTTTGTGATGATATTGTATTATTTTAAGAGTTTGAGGGTAAACGGGTCTGCACTATCCATGAACATCTGCTGAAACACTTATTATTTCTTACCTACCTTATTCCTCCTGCTTTCCAACTCAGCTATCATTGCATCAATGTCTGAAATTTTGTTCTTGATCTGTTTATTAAAAAAAAAGCAAACAAGGTTAATAAAATTAATTTAACTAAGCTCATAGTACCATACAATTAATTCTATCTTGCTTTGACCAAATCAAAATGTAACTACATAGATCAAACACTAAGTTTGAAAGAAACAATAATATAGTAACATGAAGTTATAATTGTTAAGACCATTTTTCTCAATTGATTGTCGAATTTGATCTTTGCCTTTGCAAATTACACTTGAAACTGTCTTTATTTTACATTTCATGATCTGTGATTTTTAAAAGATGGATACCCAATAATTACAATTTTAACCAAAACGATTTGCTATATCGATCATAGTAAAATAGGTCTGAACCTAGAGGTCAAAGCTTTTAAGAAATAATGGATTGAGTGAAACTTTTTCCCTTGTAGCGAGCTGCAAGGCATTTAACTGTTAACTTCAAAACTATGTTTTTAGTTTAGACATCCACTATCATCCCTGCTGTTGCCACTGCCATTAAGAAGAAATAATATAACATTTTCAACTCAGACCAATCAAGTTGGCCTCCGATATTTAAGGGTCCAAAGTTGTGATGTGGAAATAAAAATTAAACATAAATCAACTTTATATGCAGCGGGCACAAAACAAAAAGTCACAAGGGGGTCTCCAAAAGTCACGTGATTGCCTTGTTTTAACTAGTGGTCCATGATGGAAGCAATTAGAAAAGCCATGTCCCCGAATCGTTCTTAAAAACATTTGGCAACATTTCCTTGCAACTTGATTATTTTCTAAAACAATACATTTGCAAAATGTGCACATACACTTCACTGCAGTTAATTTTTCTTGTGGGGCCATCCGTACATAATATCATGCTATTTTGGATGATTTTTGCCCCCCCCCCCCCCCCCCCCCCAATTATTTTCTAAAACAATACATTTGCAAAATGTGCACATACACTTCACTTCAGTTAATTTTTCTTGTGGGGCCATCCGTACATAATATCCTGCTATTTTGGATGATTTTTGCCCCCCCCCCCCCGCCCACATGTCACAAATGAGACACATTTATCACATATCGTCACAAATTCTCAGCCTTTTAACATGTTCGGGTAGCTCTTGATACTGGTCAATGCCGGGATAACGTTAAAATAAGGACAAGAGACCTGCAGACTTTGAAGAGATTACCTCAGTAAAGTGGTACAACTGGGGGCACGAACCCTCCCCATCAATAAACCACTAATTCCTAAACATAACAAGATTCCTTGTACACATAACAATGTTATAATTAACACCTTAATTCACGCCGAGTCTAGTTTACAGATTCTGTTATTTCTGTTTAGACAATAGGTTTAGCAAGATCTAATGGTTTAAAAAAAATTACGGTCGTCAAGCCATCCAAGATATATTCTGCAATTGTATTTTATTAAAAAGTTATTTTCATATACACATTTGTGTAAAAAAATAACCATGTAAAAGTCACCTCCTAAAAATGTATTAAATTAATTTTAAATCAAGGAAAAGCAGCCAAAGTTACTCACTTCATCCATTCTGGCTTTTGTTTTTAGAATGACCTCCTGCATTTCAACCAGTTCTTCGGCAGATTTCTTTTTTCTTTCCTAAATTTTTGTTATAAAGATAAAATTATTTATTATAGGGTTAATTATTTTTTAAAGGTTTTTCTATCAATAGACTTCATCAACGAAATACCTTTAATGACCCAAATTTCAAGTAACCCAAATGGACTGAACTATCTTTTACTCTCTGGTCAAAATGAGGGTTATGTGTATCACGCACTATGTAGATATTAAGTTACAAAGGTATATGAACTTGTGTTAGCCTGTGTAGTGACTGCTGCTACATTTTATTTAGTGTAATGTCATCTGAAAATGTCTTACATCTAATTTGCGCCACCTAAAAAAAAAATCTTCAAAATGACTAACAGTCTTATTGTTCAAAACTTATTAAAAATTAAACGCAGTGACACTGGTATCATGCCTAAATGTTGTGATGGATTTTGTGAAAGAGGGATGAAATTTTGTGAGATAGCAAGTTTTAGCATGCACAGATTTATGTGGACATTTTACTCTGGTTTATGTTGTTTTAACATATGCCAACTAAATTAGTTAATAAAATTCATGTTTTGAACAAGAAATTTGACAAGCTCTTATGCCATCTTTCAAAGCAACAGCAGTGGGATCTATTGCATAATACGATCTCTCTTTTATTTTTAATTTAAGAAACGTCAGACATCTTTGACAGGACTTGATTCTGCTACTTTAGGTGATAAGATGTTATTTGTGAAGTCAATCATTAGAATTGAATAAATTGTTCAGGTTACTACCTAAAAAAGAAATAAAAAGTACAAACAATATAAATCAAGACCTGGAATTTGAGATAAGAATATCCAGTGGTTAACAAATGATTTCATTACATGTGTCAATTTAAGAACAGCAAATATCTTACCTCAGCGCTAACAAACTGGTAGGCAATATAAAGTTTATTCAAATGCTCCAGCTCTCTAATGATCTTCTGATACTCAAGGTAGGAAGAGCGCTCCTCCCTAAGTTTGGTAAGTGTTGGGGTAATATCTTCATTCAGCACCTGTCGAAGGGATTTTTTTCTTCAAAATTAATTTTGTGTTTTCAGTTTTGCTGCCAGTGCTGCCAGTCTTCAAAGTTTTCGACATAGAGGTTAATAGTATTCCGACTTTTATTAGGAAGTTTGTTTCCATTTATGGCTATCATTACCACTATAACTAACATGGAGCTAAGAGCTGCATTTCTTTAGAATAATGGTAATTAACTTTTCTCTGCGACAGAACATTTGACCGTATAAGACTTTCTATGAAAAAATAAAATACATATCTAAACAAACATACAGTGTCGATCTCCCTAAGCTTGGCATCTTTTTTTTCAATAGTCTTTTGAGCAGCTTCTTTCTTTGTTTCATAAAGCCGTGTTCCTGCAGCTTCTTCAATCATAGATAGTATCTGGTATCCAGAAAACAATAATAAATGTATAGATGAACATTATGTAATGCTTCATAAAATGATTATTAATATTCAAGAAGCATGAGCATCATTTATATTAAAATTAGCATAAAGTAAAGTGTCAAATCATACACACCTCAGGAGGTTTCATATTTAGCACTTTGGTAATCCGACCTTGCATAATTAAAAAGTGAGGATTATTGACATTTAGCTGAACAGATCGAAATAGATCTTGCACTCGCATGTTATTGGCATTGCTGCCATTTATCAAATACTTGTTGCGTCCACCAATGACAACCTGAAATACAGAGTAATGAAGGCATAATAAATTTTCAAATAATTTTTGTTACATTATATATTTAAAAAAAAAAAAAAGTTTGTAACAGACCAAGTATGATTTTTCACACGACCCTAATATTCATTCTCACGACATGATGGCGTATTGATTTAATGAGAACGATGTAAATCACGAGAAAAGCGGGAACTAGGTTTTAGAGCTGAAGTAGAATACATGTTTTAAGTAGAGCAAGAGCGTAAGGTTTTTATCTGAAGAGGTGACAGACATATTGTTTTTTCTTGAATGGATTATTTAATTACTATCAGATGGAATATTATTCAACATGTGTGTGTATGTATATTCATTGCATTCTATGATTGTTACAAGGATATCCTCATATCAAGGATTTATTCAACTTATCTATTATATGTAATAAAGTACCGTATCAATTATTCATTGGACATTATCACTTCTTAAGTGAGAGAGAGAAACAGATAAGTTTGAGGAGTGAACGGTGGAATGAATTAGCTATTCAAGTAATCCAGCAAGCCATCCATTACAGTGAGCTCAAAAATTAGCTAACAGTGTTACCACCAACATTGTTACAAGGTTCATTCATGAACAAAAAATCTATCTAAATTAGGTAAATTTCCTAAACCTTTTTTTTTTCTTTAAAAAAAAACCAAACAAGTCTACCTGTCTAGTGACTGTGATTTCATCATACTGTTCATAGCCCAGAGGAGTTTGCTGCTTGTCCTGATTGTCAAATGTTATGCTTACTGTTGCCTTAGTTACACCAGCCTGTCCACTTTTGTAAACAAGGTCCTGAAGACTTCCTGCCCTGACCTAAAATGTTTCAAGAGGATTTTGTAATGAAACATGTTGTCATTGTTTTATATGAGGTGACTATTGTGCTGATTTTACCCAGACGGATAGTACTTGTTTTTGGACATTTATCTAAGTTTGTCGTAAGATCGAGTACATGTGATATCCGTGCATAAGTAAATAAAACAACAAAAAGAAATATAATCCAAATTGGCATCACAATAATATTACTTTTCACCCACAGAAGAGCGCTATAGGTAATTGCAAATACCGTATTTTCCGGTGTATAAGATGACTTTTTAACCCATGAAAATCTTTTCAAAAGTTGGGGGTCATCTTATAAGCTGGTATTGGGCGTGCTGGAACTTCATGGCATGGACACGTGCCCTCTAGCTAAGCCACCCTTAGTTACCGTACCTTAGACCACAGCATCACATAGGTCGAGTGAGGGACAGTTTAATACGTGAATAGTTATACAACATTATAAACTCATAGTTCAATACATCATTAGTAATACAACGTCATCCACTAACAGTTCCCACAATTTAATGTCCCACCACTCAATATTGTTTTTTATCTTCCTCCTATCATCATTAGTTCCAGTTTGATTGACAGCTTAGAAAACAGCATGACAGCTCCCATGGGTTTATTGTCTTATCGTTCCATTCAGCTTAAGAGTTAATTAGAAAAAGTTTTATCCATTAAATCAAATTAATCAAAGGAGCCTAATGATTGCCCTCCGGTTCTGGTGAATGGAGATGAAACAATTGAGTTGTTGGTGGGGCCAAAATGGGCATGCAGAGGCGACTGCAGTGTTAAATCTCATTTAGGGATGGAACCTTGCACTGTTTTATGTTTACATATTTGATGACCAACAGCCGTATTTTTATAAATGACAGTTTTCCTGCTAAGTCAGTACCTACATGTCATAAGCATTTGAATTAAATTTACCATATAGAAATCAAATCTGACATTTTTAAAATTTTATTTGGTGTGCGTTGGAAGAAGGGTAGGCGGGTATAGCCCAAACCCTATATTTCAACAGGAAAAGTAGGGGTCGTCTTATACACCTGAAAATACAGTAATTCTTTTGTTTTGGACATCCGCTGCGCCAATGATTATGATTTTAAATGTCCTGTTTGGTAAAGGTGTGGTTAGTTACATTGGTTTTCCCAAGAGTTGTCTCACCCTAAGTGCGGTGACATTACATTGGCAAGTCTCAACACGACTTAAAAACAGTTGGCCGGCCATTAACCTTTACAGTACCAGACGCGTCTTTTTGCAGTGACCTACTTTTTCAATGTGACCCAAGCCGTCTTTTTTTACCAGGCGATTGTTTTCCCTGTGACCCAATTGCGTCTATTTGCCACATAGAGGGGTATCTAATATAAACACAGAAACAAGGATATAACCTATCACCGCAGTCTCAGGCAGAATGTTTACTCGTTAGGGGAATAGTTGAATTTTATTTGCCTTTTAAATGATTAAAATTGACCAATTACTGAGTTTTTTGTGCGGATCTATATTTGTTGTTTCCATGGCGCTACACTATCGCTATTGTTGATGACGACTTGCGCACAATCCCCTAGTGTGCCATGCCAAAGAAAAGTTCGAACAAAACACTTTAGTTTTTTAACACCTTTATCATTATCCATTTCTGAACAGATAATTCTCTACATGTCATTATAAATTGTTTAAAACAAAAAAAAAAGTTACAAAATAATGTGCAAACCTATCAAATTTTGGCTCATTCCAAAATAATGTCAATGTCTGGGACACAGAGAATAATTAGCAAAATGATAGCAGGTACTCAGGCAATAAAAGCAAAAAGTAGGTCAGTACAAAAAAAAAAAACAGTAAGGGTTAACTAACTAGGTCAATCAATTTTTGACCACCTTGTCAACAACTGTCAAACTTTCAAGGACCCCCCCTCGAATTAATTATGTCAAAAATTGTTTTAAACCACAATTTAAGTTTATGATATAATGTGTACTTAATTAGCTTTTTTGGCAGTGTCTACACGTCTTGCGCGCCGGACATATATCTCCCGCACTATTTGTCCGGCGGCCAAGTCACATGACCGCTGTAACAAAGTGGCGAGAGATATCTTGTCGGTCAGCCTTGTCACGTGAATGCGAATGATTCAAAACTATTGTTAATTTTAAAATATATTTCTCTACCAAGTAATGTACTGAGTATCTTGAATGCAAATAATAGAAAAAAACTTAAGTGAAAGTGGCTTGTAAACATTTTTGTTTAGTTTGTTATTTGAGTTTGTGTACCAGTAATCCATAAAATAAATTAGGGGCCAGTGTGGAGTAGGCAAACAATAAAAGTAAACGATTTCATTTTAAATTGTTTCAATTGCTACCAAGATATTTTAAAACTTCTCATGAAACTACTATTGCTGATGCATGATACTATAAATATAGTATAAAATATTTTAAATTAAAATGGGAAAAAAAAACAATCCTATACCAGGTATTGATCCTCAAATATTAATAACGTCAAGCGACCACTCTACCACAAGACCACACAATATCTGCCTAATTGCACTTCGTTCAGAATAATAACAACTACTAGCCGTCCGGCGGTCACGTGACATGCTGCCGGACGTATATCTCGTGCACTATTTGTCCGGCGCGCCGGACGTATATCTCGTGCACTATTTGTCCGGCGCGCCGGACGTATATCTCGTGCACTATTTGTCCGGCGCGCCGGACGTATATCTCGTGCACTATTTGTCCGGCGCGCCGGACGTGAAGACACTTCATAGTTTTTTAGGGTAAATTACGAGGACCAATGCCACTATTTTATCGAATTTCACGAATGTATCCCTATGCCTAACCTGAACCCTAAATCGATCACTCAACCTAACCTAAACCCTAATTCACTGCAATTATAATAAACACCCAAAAGACGCCATGGCATTCGTCCTCAGATTTAGACATTTTTTTAGTAAGTAGTATAGACATAGTTTAAGTATAGTATAGTATTAGTAGCTAATTATTAGTCTTAGTAGGGTTGAATACTCTACGACTAAGGTACCGGTGCACTACACTGACGTAACTGACTCAGTAAACAGTTACAGTTTATAGTTCGGTTCAAAGTTTGTATACAACAGACCTGTGACAAATTTGAAATTCCTAGCAGAAAACAAATAGAATCCAATATGTTCGATTTTCCACTTCCATTAAGGCCAGTTATAGCATTAAAAAGAGGATCGAAGCCATTTATTTCAGTTCTTTGAGCATAGGACTTAAATCCGTCAATCACAATTGACTTGATGTGCATTTTTCTAGAGTAAATTAACCATAGTTGGTACTGAACTCGAAAAGGGCGCTTTATTGAAAACTTCCGGTTATGTTTTTAGTTTGGCACCGGCTCCGTACACAAAACAAAATTGAGCTTGCAGATCATTCACACTTTAGTTATTTAATAAAGTGGCAATTACCGCACCGTGATGACGACCTGGGCATGGGGTGATATATTCAAAAGAATGTAAAAAAATATGTTGAAATTAAAAAAAAATTAGATCTAAATAAATTTGAAACCGGGAGCAACAGTGAGAATGAAATTTAAAAAAAAAAAAAAGACAAATTTAACTAATAAATACTCACTGCTGTTAACAACAATAGGCATGGGGTGATATATTCAAAAGAATGTAAAAAAATATTTTGAAATTAAAAAAAAATTAGATCTAAATAAATTTGAAACCGGGAGCAACAGTGAGAATGAAATTTAAAAAAAAAAAAAAGACACATTTAACTAATAAATACTCACTGCTGTTAACAACGATTTATATTACGGATATTATAATAATATTATTTAGCATTTATTCAAATAAGCCCAGACTTTCTCACACTAGTTAGCGTTTTATTCAGTAGACATATTTTTTTTTATTTTATGAAAGCCACTGGACACTGGTTAATCTCATATTTGAACGCATTTTTTTTTATAGTTAACTTTTGAGAAATAAACAATCAACTAATTTCATTATTAAACGTATTAAAATGATATTAAAAGTAAAATATCATCTTTTTGTTCAAAACAACAACCATTTTAAAGTGGGCAACTTGTAGGCATGTTGTCGTCACATCCCACTAGGGCTATCCCACTTCCACTATTTACTATTACTGTGTTTTTCTTGTGTACTACTATTTTGACATCTTTGTTACCATGACAGCATGTCAAAAAAAAAAAAATAGTTCAAAATCACATCTGGTGAAATGGGGAGGGGAAAGGGAGAGAATGTGTTGTTGTTGAAAAAAAAAGGCGACTCTAGTAACAATCCGCAACTTAGCAAGGGGAGCCTACTGATATACAGAAACATTCCGTGAACACCGTTGCCAAGCTGTATCATAATACTCCCTTCATAATATATACAACGTCACAAATCTCTGCGCCCCCCCCCCCCCCCCCCCGACCTTATATAAAAATTACCTGTGTCCACGTCTGTCCATTACAAACCCTTTTAAAAAAATTCACCTCCCATGGATTACTGCATCTGTGTCACAAACATTTCACTTTAACTTAGTATAACAGTAGTTCTTAACCAGGGGTAAAAGAACTACCTCCCCAGACCTGAGGTGCGTAAGACCAAAAAATTGTATTTGCTGCCATTGCGAGTTGTTGCTGCTTTACAATTTTTTTTTTAAAATCAGTTTTTGCATTTTGATTAGCAGCAGTAAATGTTTTTTCTGGTGAATTTTGTTGGCGCATTACTTTTATTGGTAATTATTTCCCTTGTTTATAAAAAGTTAATTAAAGAAATAAAACTATGAGAACTAAATTATGTAATTGTTTTCATATTTTAAATTTGATTACAATATAATTTAAATGGTCAGGGAAGGGGGTGTGTGTGCTTAAAACGGAGTGGGTCTGCAGCGCTACAAAGAGGTTTAAAACTCCCTGCCCAAAAGCATGTACTAAGACTAAGATACAAAATGTGACCCCCCCCAACACCCCCTTTTTTTTCAAAGACGCGTGACATCATTTATGGATAGCCTCAAAATGGATTTTTATAAAATGTTAATTAAAATCAGCAACACTAAACGTCGAAACATCTATGGTTTCAAACTGATAATATCCCCTTCATTTTGAGCACAGGGCCTCCATTCTATTTTAAATAAACACTCCATCTTTGCTGTTTTTCAACCTATTTTAAAGGGATAATTTTAAAATAAAATTTGTTTCTTATCCAAAAACTAATAAATACTCACTGCTGTTAAATATTAAAGATTAAGTTCTTTCTGTGCAGGGGGACCCAATTAGTAAAAATATAATAGGCAACATGTTTTTCAATGAGACATCTTTAAAAGTTGTATTTGTCTTCAAATCATGGTTTTTGGCTGTGCCCAGCATGAATCTTAACTGAAAAGACGAGTGCCCAAAATTGAAGATGTCTTTTTATAGAACATTTTAAATTTTACTTGGTAATTTTAGCATAGGTCCTATATTTACGTGTACACTGATAACGCTTTAGAAGTTGTTTTTTTCCCAAACACGAACCTGAACAAAGCAGGGTACATTGGCAATTTTTGGCTAGTTATGAATATACATAGAAACATTAATGTCCACAGTAATAAAACAGGAGTAAAGTTTTTAAGCAATATATATATATATATTATATATATATATATATATACAGAACTTCAAGGAATATTTTATTAGGCCCAATTTTTTTCATATGAAATAAAAACAGCATGAAAATCTAACAATACATCAAAGGCACAACCCACGCAAATGTATAATTAACAATGGAGATTGTGTTGTTTTAAATCAGTCAACAGGGTTAAACTTTAACTTTTAAAACATACCAGTCGGCAGGGAAATCAAAGAGTTGCAAAAAAAGTAGTCAAATTCATCATTACTCTGAAAGTTCAAAAGTGTGAATTTAGTACAAATTCAAGGAAATACAGCACTTCAAAAATGTTATGGATTGGTGCATTTTAACTGCAACAGACAGCACCAGTGCCCTCTATATTTCCTACTGCATAAGGGGGAGAAAAATAAATTATTAAGAAATTTGTTAAAATGTTAATTTTTTTTGGGTAACAATTAAGAAATTTCATATTTGTTTCTCAGTGCTCAATAATTGAGGTACCTAGATTTTTTAATATAAGGCTACATTTTTTTAAAACATTCATGATAATACAAGAATACAAGTGTTACTTTTCTTTATTCAATAATCTCTATTCTTATAAAGTACCCATAAATTTTTGTATAAAAAATGAGCGCATACAAATATCAGATGAAAAGTTTACATGTAACATGTTTGCTGAAAATATTTATTTTAAAAAAGTGTTTCATGAACACAAAAAGAATTGAAAAACAATAAAAGATATTAATTTTTCCCTCAGTTGGCAAGTAGGTATTTCGCTCATTAACTTAAAAAAAAAAATTCATCCCCACTCCAAACCCACCATTTTCCCAATAGCCCAGGCACAAACATAAATATATTTTCTTTAATAAACTTAAAATGAAAAAGAAACATGTCAAATAATATAAAAAATTATAACAATAATAATCCATTAGTAATAGCAGTCCAGTAGTCTTCACTGAGTGGAAAAGTAATTTTACAAAAACATTTAAAATTTCAAAGGTAAAATTCGAGCAAATAAAACATAAGATTGGAGATTTTAGAATGGCTTATTAGATACATTTAAGATCTTTCAAGAAATGAGGTAGCTGCCCCTACTCAAAAGCAAATTTCAATTAGCAGAATTATTTCAAAATATTTTAACTTAAAAAAGCCAAAATTGACTTTTTATTTTACTCACTATGTTCATAAATTTGCAAGCATGCTATAAAAGTTATGCTTCAAAATTTGTTTAATGAACATGAGTGACAAGTGCAAAAAAATTTTTAAATTTCTACACCTACATTCACAAAACCAATGAGAGCATGGTATGAAATGTTTGAACTAACTAGAGATGGCTTCTAACTATACTGTGTCAAGTAAAATGGTGTATGATATTATTGATATCCAAAATAAAAATGAATATCTTTGTAATTGTAAGCATTATGTTTATGGCAGCAAAACCATAGAAAATTTAACATGTTAGAAGAAAGTCTTGAACATAACATTAAAAAAATAATTGCTAGTGTTGGGCCATCTGGCTGTAAATTCTGATGTGGTTACATTGGAATAGAATGATTTTATTGTTGTTTTTTTTCTTCTTAAAATCCTATAATTCAAAAATATAAAAAATCTTTGACAAATCCAAAGATTTTTATGTTTTGGATTTGTCATTTTTCTTTCAATTTATATTAAATAATTATCTATATTTAATATTACTATCAATCAATGACTTTAATTTTTTACTAGACAAAAAAACTGCAGTGTTACAACTGCACCATATCCGAAGTGCACATTACTTCATATCACAGTTAAACATTATGAAATATGGAATAATCATAAACATAAGGAAAACTGTATACTTCACAGTTATTCCAGCTTACATGGCAGCATTATGTCACAGGGGGATCTTTGTTATTTTTGCTTTCAACCATCGGGCAACTGCTGTTGGAAAGGGTGTGCCATGATAAAGTAGTTTTAAGTGAGCAAGGGGACAGTTTTTATTCACTTACACACCACTTTTCCAGCATCTTTGGTCCCAGCATCTGGGGTCCCAACATCTACTGTAACTTGTGGGTAAGTGAATAAAAACCAACCCCTTCCAGGTTAATCTTGTCATACTATAGCTGGAGGCAGGCTACTTTCTTTGTGGCTGGCTCAATCTGCATATTTTTATGGCAATGTCAACTAATAAACAAATGCAGGGAAATGACAAATTAATTGGTTTAAGCACTCATGAGTAACAATTGATGAACAGAGGGCGACTCTATTCCTTGGGATAAGAAAACTTTTACTAATATCGAATAGAACAGTTCAGTTAGAACGAGGAGCAAACTATCGCAGTTACATCATTTTATTTATTGCACAATTTATGAGACAAACACACTGAAAATTTAACCCTCAGAAGGAGTTTATAGAGGACGCAGTCTCAAACTAAGGACCCTTCAAGCTTTATCCCGCAGTCCACCAAAGATTTGAATTTACATATTGTAATAAGTGCAAACACTTGATGAACTTAATGATATACTGTTAAGCAGTTGTGTGAGCCATGTGCCATCGAAATAACCTTATCTGGCTCTTATGGAAGTTTAAGACACTGAGTAACACTAAAAATCTTGACATAGAAATAAAAATCAATACATTTTAATTATAAAAGATCTCTTTCAACTAAATAAGGGAATAGTTTTAATAAAATTCTTTATGGAAGCCATAATCTGGCTGGGAATTAGATTCTGAGTTACACAATTTAATAGAGTTATTATTTGTCAACATCTCTTTTTTTTGCATTTGTTCTTCACTGTTTATCCCCTTATATTTTTGAATCAATTCTTTGATGAGCGGGCCACGATCTTTGGGCAGTGTACTGAAGTATCTCTTCTGATCTTCTGAGTACTTCTTCTCAACTGAAATGATGTCCCTGTACCTATTATCTTTCCAATAATTGTTGAACAAATCCAGGAGTTCCACCCTCTTCTCTTGTTCTGGCACACAGTCAACTGGATCAATACGGGGAAGGTCAGCGGCTCGCACAGATTTGAAAATGAAAACTCCACGAAGTGCAAACCACCCGCCATACACAGGATGAATGCAGACACCAAAGATTTTCTGAGGAAAACATATTACTTTAAACTACCGATACCTATTTCATAATAATTCAACAAGAATCCTGTCAACATAAAAGCTAATTCAATTCTTTTATGACATATTCTAAGAATGATGAATATGTGATTTTCATTAACCAGGTAATCACCTGATTAAAAACTCATTGAATCAATTTTCTTTGCTTAATAGTGTTTTATTTATGTCTTTATTATAATTTTGGACACTTTAAGGATGAAACTGTGTTGTGATTTGTCCCTTATAATTTGTACTGGTCAAGTACACTCATTTTTAAGTCTCCAAAGTTTCACACATGACTCCAATGACATTGACAATGTAAGAAGAGATAAATATTTAAATGGTTTTAATTTTTAACAAATTGTTAAACTGAATGGAAAACAAATCCATTGGGCTGTTTAATTAAAAAAGTGTCAAAGAAAATCTTACAATGCAATTTATCACAATTTCAATGTGATGAAACCCATTACTGATACCGTATAATATGCCCAATGGCTATAAACTATTTTTTTCTTGCTCAACTCCCTCTCCGGCAACTATAATTACCTGTTTAAATGGATTAGGTGCTAAACTCCGAGCAGTATAGTAGTAGGCCGCCCCAGCCACATGTGCAGCTGGCTGAACAAGAACTTTTGGGCGTCTTGATGGTGTCATTTCAAAATCATGCATAATTTCGATATCTTCATCAGGAAAGATCTGTTGATTTATAAAGCTTGTGTCTATTATTTTGTATCCAAACATTATTACTTAACATTTTTATTTCCCTTATGACTTGATTTCAAAGCTCCATTATTGTATGATCTCTATATGATTAAAATCACTAATGGTTAATTGCCTCCCTCATGTCTCTTACAATATTTATGTTTACAGGAAATGTGGGAGTATACCGGGTATAGGGTTTCTCTCCCAGGTTGCATTCTATGGATATCATTAAATTATATAGGTGTCATTTACTTGTAAATCAAATACATAATGTTATTGGCAAATTTTAAATATTAATTTCTACATTTTTTTTAAATTTAAAGCTGAACCCAAAAACCCTTTAGTTACTTGGGATGATTTTGATATAAATGAGAATGAATGAAATGTACAGTTTTACCCTCCTGACAAGGCTGAAATTGTGCTTCATGCATTTGTCTAGCAAGTCAAGTGTTCCTGTGCAATCATCACTGCACATAAAAGGCACAAGTGCTCTCTCAAACATGTCTGGTGTACTAACAACTAGAACTGCCAGGGTGTCTGGATCAAAGTTGAAATGAAATAGTTCTTCTACCTCATCATTGTACCAACCAACCTTGAGAGATAATAGAGACAAGTTACTATTGAGAACCTGGTCAATCCATGGCAGAGAAAAATATACAGTAAAGTGTTAGATATTCAATCCATGGGAGAGAAAAATAAATAGTTAGATAATGATGGATCGCAAAAGCAGCAGCAACTATGGCTAAACTGAATAAGCAGGTGTGAAATAATCTCAATCTAACTGATATTTAAATAAACTAAGTATTGAGACATGGATGATCGTAAATATGTTCTCTTGCCAGTGGCTACAGTAACAGGTATTGTAAGGATTATTCTAAATCCTACCCAAAGATTTGGCTCGACATCCGGTAACTTATTAGTGATTATGAATTTAGCAATTTCTAATAGAAGTTTACATCATGAGGAAATATTTCTTTGGCTATTATCTAGTTTAGTCAACAAATCACATTCATTTATATAGATATGTTCTTGATGCTTTAACTTATTCTCCAAACCTTGACATGCTACTTTGAGCTTATCTTTGTACGGCAGATTTTTTAGGTCATTTAAAAATTCCCATCAGTTATTAAAACTTTGAAACTGTTCAAATCTCTCTGATAAAAAATGTATAGCTCTGTCCAGTGCATTGAGCACATGATTATTTTCTGGGTCACCTGCAGTTGGAACTTTGTTAGTGCATTCATATTCAAACAGCCTCCTTCTCCTTATTCTTTTATTTCTAAAAATGGTTGTTACATCTAAATCTATACTTTATTTTTCTGCTGACTCTAGAGCATTTCCAAATCCTTTTGCACAATAATCAATTAAATAATCAGTGACACTGACACTATCATTCAGGATACCGGTAGGCAGAAAAAAACATATAGACGCTGGACAGTACCAAAAAAAGAGGATTCCAGGCAACTTGTTGCACTGTCACCAATCACAAAGTTTAGTCTGACATCTACATGGTATATAAAAAGCCTGTAGATTTTCCTTCATAATCCGTACCTGCATTCCTTTATTTTTTCCCTTTATATTAGAAGCATTATCATAGGGGCAAATTTAAAAGAATTCAATGCACCTACAAAGGAATCGGATGCCTTTGTCAGCAGTAACTTTTGCAACCACTTTCTGTGCACAATCATACCATTTATGTCTAATGGCAGACAAACATTTGGCACTAAAAATTATTTTTCTTCCATAGCCCCCATATGCAATGCTTTTTCATATTTTTAAGATTGCTGATAGCATCCTAAGCGCGGGAGCTCCGGGCAACTTCCCCATTTGTCGGTACCATAGATTGAGCTGGCCCTGGCTAAATAAAAATTATTATTGAGTGCTTGTGCATCTTTTAACAGGTTACATAAAGGTTTTTTTTTTACACAAAATTAAAGCATTTGATGAACTTGAAAACATTATTTGTTCCGTTTTTGTTTATTTATTAAAATATTTCTTCAGTCAAACTTTTTAATCTTCTTGTTCTATCCATTTGTATCATATGATAATGATAATTTAAATTAATATTTATTGCTGCACTGTAAGGTAGACATTGCCACCTTATTCTTAAGAACACATTGCTGGTAATAATAATAAAAGCATGAATATGTACTTTTTTTTTTTTTTTAAATAAATGATATAAGTTATAAATAAAACTTACAGCAGTGAGCAGTGTCAGTATGCTAAATGAAGTCTAATAGTAATTGGCAATTGTGTGTTTAAGAGCAAAATTAAATTTTTACCTTAAAACCTTTTGTTTCAATAATTTATTTCAAAAAATGGGTTGGGGGTGTTGATTCCAAGCAGCCTCATATTTTAATTGGTAATCTCTACCACTTGAGCGTCAGCTACGACAAAATCCAGTTTTTACGGTTTGAAGTGCTAAGTGCTATTAAAACTACCGGTATTATCTTTTTTTACATACACTGTACATGACATATTCATTTCAGCACAATTATAATACAAATAATCAAAATCAAAGGCAAAATTTTTGGATAGAAAAACTAAAACAATTTCAAAATCAAAAAAAAGAATTTGAACAATTTGGATCAACTAAATTTTGTTGCTGCACCACAACGGAGTGTTCGTATATTCGATTTCTGATTTGGTTTATATTGACATAAGCCCTGCCCGTATGATACAATCAGTCAGCCTGAAAGGATATATCTTTCTATAATTTATAATACTATAATATAGGGCCTACACTTTTGTAAAGTGATAGCACGTCGGTCTGGCACTTCCAAGATAAAACAGCACCCACTCTTTCTATGCCACCAAAAACCCAGTGACCTTCTCACTCTCTCTTATTTCCACGATGGTATATCCTGTGGAAGTGGAAGTATTAATAATAATATGATTAATATTATTAATATTAATTGTTTAAATAGTAATATCACCTCAAACTGGAACAACTGGATTTTTTTGTAACCATCGCTCAAGTGGTAGATTACATTTTAATTATTAGCCTAGGGCCTCCAGATAGCTAAATCCGGCCTTGGTATACATAAGAAGTCTGAAGTGGGTGACAGAACGTGCTGTAAAAATTACAAAAATGTAATCTAAATTATTATGTAGCCTAATTTGAGTATTTATTATTATTAAAATATAAACATTCATTTTCATACAACCTTAAATGGGTAGATTTCTAAGCCCTTGTTCAAAAACTGAGCTCGCAGTTTCGAGACTATCTCGGAAGTATCATTTTTCTTTTGACTGAATATATTCTTTTTAGATACTTCATGATCATCAACTTCATGAGCAGTCCCCATGCCAACCTTCAATTTTCATATTAAGGGAAGGAAGAAGTCATTCTACTTTCGATTTCAACAATTGTCAGGGATCTTCTACTGGAAGTTTAAGTTTATTGCTATCAAACAAGAAAAGTTAACTCTAATAGTAACAATGCACGCGTAAACAGTGAATGTCTGAACACCCAAGCACAGAAACATGCTGTAAACGAGGAGTGTCCGAAATAGCCTGTGTACTAACATTGCTATATGTAATTAGACTTTACCGTTATGCTACTCGGCCTGGGTGCCGAGAGTTATTCATTCAGTTAAATAAAGGAGTTAAAACACTCGTATTCCCTGCACTATGACAATCGTGTATTCTACTTAACTTTTACTACAACTACAATGCACTAATATTCTATTAAATTTTAATTTATTTAGTTACACAGTAATTTACACTCTCACTTCTTTGAAAGTGCTTCCTAACTCTTGCTAATACTAATAAATTACTAATATACTACCGGTACACTGTAACACACTCACACACTGTAATACTAATGACTAATAGCCTATATACTACTATACACAGTGGCGTAGCAAGGATGGGGGGGAGGAGGGGGGGGGGGGGGGGGGGAGTGTGCGGACCGCACTGGGTGACACCATCTCAGGGGGTGACACCAAATTGAAAAAATGCATATTTATAGAGCACACACTACTCAGTGTAACAGAACTTCATAAAAGTTAAAAGGATCACATGTAAATTTTTCACACATATAACTTACTTTATGTAACCAAACCAAATGCATGTTTTTTTAAAAGTTCAATTTTGAGGAGTCCGAAACGAGGTGAACCTATAATTATGTCATAATAACCTTTTTTTGACCATGATTCACTGCCGACTGAAGTTTTCAGTAACTTTCGTGACAGGAAGCTATGATATATATACATCCAAATTCTGAGAAATAAAGCTTTCCATTGATACCAAATACGATGTGGTTGGGCGATTCTAAGTCCATGAACTGATGAGTGTATTGATCGCTTTAATTCTGAACCCTAGATCAGATCATCAGCGATCAAGGAAGTAGCATATATGTTTGGGGTGTTCAACCCAAGGGTCTACTATCAGCAAGTGAAGAAGAGTTATTGGTGTCTGTTCCGAAATTAACTTCTTTCTATGATGAGTTATCAAAAGATAAACTTTTAAAAGAAATACCAAGGCTTAGAAGACACCTGGAGGCAGCTGATATTGTTGAATTTCACAACTTCATGTACTAGTCAGTGTTTTATGTTTTGAAATTCAAAGCTGAATGGGACTTCCTAGAATCTCTTCCAATACTCTCACTAAACCTTCAATTGTTTCTTACAATCTGTGTTTCATGTGAGCGGAGTTTTTCAAAAGTATGGCTTATCAAGAACTTTTTACGATCCACCATGGGCAGTCAAGGATTTCTAATCTGGCTCTACTATCAATTAAAAGTGATACAGTGGAGTATATTGATTATGATCAAATGATTGTGCAACTTTGAAGACCAGGAAAGGAAAATTTTAAATAAATTAAATTTAATGTAAAATAGCTATAACTTAACATTGTTACAGTTCTTAAATACATTTGCCTCCTGATCTTTAACTGATTTGCTTTTGTTCTTGTCATTGTTATACTGTGAACATAATTTAAAAAGAATGAAGCCATCGTGAAAGTCGGAGGTGACACCATGACTTTACCGCACCGGGTGACACCAACCCTAGCTACGCCACTGACAATACACGTACAGAAAGTAAACCGCTCTTTTTACTCTATCTACTGAACTCTGTGTAAAGTGAAAGTGGTTGGAGATCAGATAAATTATGAACCTCATTCTGTTTATTAATTATAATATTAATTTATAAATTAAGGCAGACAAAGTCTTGACTGCTGCTCACTGCTAGGATTACATAAAAATGTCATTGCTATGATAATCAGTACCATACTTTTTTTTAAAAGCTAGGGTCAGTAAAAAATTTAGTTTGTTTTTTTTAGGAAATTTAGTTATTTTAATTTTTACATTGTTGAAATCGAAATAGAAAATTTAATTAATTATTTTTATATTCATACTATTGAATGTACTTACTCAGTGAAAACGCATTCCATTTTTATTGTGCTAAAATGTCTAAATTGTGATATATACCCATTAAAGTCATAAAAGTAAAAGTATTAGTATTATTAAAAGTATTAGTATTATCTAATGATGCCACTCTATTTTGGTCAATTTTTTACCCCTACACTAACATAACTAATCATCAATGAAAATTAAATACTTTCTTCTCAGATGATACTTCTGAAATGTAAAAACTAATCAATGTTTACTCAACTTTGATACTGCTTTCATTGAAATAATTAAATGCCAGTAGGCTTATATATATGAAATAGAATCACTGCAATATCAGAATATAATAATTACGTTCCACAGCGTTGTATCTTGAAAATTATTGCTTAATAATTTATTTCCCTAAAACAATATTTTAACATTAGTATCTGTTAGTTATTTTTTTCAGTCTCTGTGTACTGTAGTAATGCTTAAATTCTTTTACCTGGTTACTACGCACCACAGAATTATGTGGGATGCATGTTGTGGTTTTGAACAACTTTACTTCCATTTTCAACAGAGGCAGAGCCTTTCCATTTCTCAAAAGACACTTTGAGGTCTACATTTTTATCAGAAGCTTTAAAAAAAAATATGTTTTTAAATTTCAATATATTTGTTGTTTCTTGTTTTGTCCTTCATGTTGAAGAAGGCGTTTAGCCAAAACGACCTTGTCATTTCTGGTCTTTTTTTTCCCCAAGGCTAAACATATTTTGTTACAATATTTATTTATTTTTTCTATATACCAAAAAAAAAATATTTTGGGAACTGCATCGGCGCATGTTATTATAGATTAAAAAATAAAAAGAATAGGATCTATTCCTGCAAAGAGCACCATGTTGCTTTGAACCATGGGTTGCAGACCAGTGATTTAAGGCTTAGTTAAGACCACTCTTTTAACTTTTAAGCGTTTTCTGCACGGATTTCTTTTCTTTGGAAAGGGGATGGTGGGGTAGACGGGAATGGGGGTAGTTAGTAGTAATAGTACTATTTAAAGTCATCATAGGCCTAGCCAATACAGATACAGGTATATTATTTTTGGTCTACCCATAATCACTAGTAACTAAAATAGCCATAAGCATAGACATTCAATCTGCTTAAACCAGTGACGCACTGATTGAACCTTTCAAAAGAAGCAATAAAAAGAGCTTAACGATAATTGAAATAGGGATGACATGGAGCCATAGTTTTACTTTTTGTTAATATGTTAATGGTACATGGAAAATCTTAACATCAGTCTGTAACTATATTTCAGGACCTGCGATTACCAAACCTAAGATCAAATCCAGAAAATGACATCAGCATTTAGTTCCGGGGATGACGTAATAACAAGAAAAATTCAATGCACTCCAGAAACAACTTCGTCAGACAATCTTTTCAATGTTTATGAAGTGGACAGATGTCTATCTTGGATTGGCCAACATTCCTTTAAGATGGTGTGATTTAAAATCTTAATGCAAAGTAGAAACTCACCCAGCGAATGAGAATTTTTTTTTTTTTGTGTGTGTTTGTGTGGCCTCCACCCCCTCCTTTTTTAAAAAACTAGTTGTAATATACATCTTCATCCAATATGGCTAGGATATTAAAAGTTGAGTGTGTTTAACTTCATGAGTGCTAATTGCAGTTTAAAAAAAATATCAAAATGAATGAATGTATTTTATTGATTAATAGCATCAGTAGTTCAGATGACAGGTCTTAAATGCTCCAATGTTGAAATAGATAACAATAGCTACTACTACTATACATTCTTTCTTTTTTGCCAATGTTATTTATTACTTAGGGTATGTAATGCAGACATTAACTTACACAAAATTTTGTATGAAAGCCAATGAGCAAGGATAATCTCTGAATCAGTTTTTAGTTCATTTTAAAGGATATTAAATATTTAATGAACCTATTAGGAAATACTGGAGTGTGATTTTCTTCTGTGAACTGATTTTTTTTTAATGAACAAAAATCTGGTTAACTGCTGTTGAAAGCTTGGTCACTCTTAGTTATGCACTTAAGAGTTAACATTATATGAAGATTTAGCTTTTTAAACATTTAAAGCATCATATAAAATTAAGCATAAGGTTTTATTAATTAGAAATTTCCAGGACTCATGAATTGCCCTTTAACATGAAGTGGTGTTAAATTTTTTGTTGATCTTCATCAAGTATACTTGAGTCTTTTAACTGTATTTTTATATGCAATATTTTGCAATGTCTTTTTCAGATTGCTCTTCAGTTTCCAGATGAACTGTTGATAGATGCACCTAGAGTAGTTGCTCTTTTGCAAGGGGCACTGAAAGATGTTTTAATTTTTATTTTAGGGGATACTTCATATGGCAGGTAATTCCAATATCATGTGATTTATTTTTAAAAAATTATTGAACCGAGTTATTTTGATCTGTTTTTTGATGCCTTAAAAAGGAAGCTTATTTGAAAATAACTATTGAGAGATTTTTAACAATTAATTCTAAAATTACATATGATCCTCCTCAAAATTGTTTTATGGGAATTTTGAAATTTTTTGGGCTGTTGAAAAAAAGCTACAAACCTATTTTAAATTATATTTTTACAGTTGCTGTGTTGATGAGGTTGGTGCCCAGCATTACAGAGCTGACTGTATTATTCACTATGGCCATGCGTGTTTGAGTCCCACTACACGGCTGCCTGTCTTATATGTGTTTGGACAATCAGCTTTTGATACAAATGACTGTGTTAGTCAAATCAAGGATATTTGCCCTGACAGCCTTTTGAAAGCTGTCTTAGTCTATGACACAGTTTACTTTCATGCCATAGGTGGGATAAATATTTTAAGAAATGATGTAACACCTAAAAATGTAAAGAAAAACTATTAAATAATTTTGAGCAAGGTTTTTTTTATAGTATACGAATAGATTTAAGGAAGATTTTTGTTTTTCTTCTACAAAAAAAATTTTTTACTTTTATTATTAGATATTATACATACTGCTTTGATTTTTAAGATTAAGAATTTGATATAGTAATATTTAAGTATTTCTCTTTCACAGATAAAGTTTATTCAAGACTTCAGGAATATTATAAACAATTGATTGTGTCAAAGCTTGTGGAGTCTAGTCGTAGCAGTTCATATCCTTCTCACCAGATTGGTGCTGGTACCATTACAGCACATGTGCCTCCTAGCCCATTTTTACATCCTGATGGCTTCACCAACACTGACCCACTGGCTGCTAACCCCACCACAACAGTGAACAAATGTGGTAGAAGTATAGAACTGCCCATGGACTCATGCATCGATGACTACAGTTTTATATACATTGGTAACACACAAAGCCCCGCCCTTATCAACATGATGATGACATTTAACAAATCACAGTTTTACACTTACAGCCCCAGTGACAGAGTTAGCGAAAAAGTGACGGTCAACATGAACAAAGCCCTCATGAAGAGATATTACTTGATTGAAAGGGCTAAAGATGCCAACATTGTTGGTATAGTGGCTGGGACGTTAGGTGTTGGCAGGTACAGAGAAATGATCGAGCACTTGAAAAGTTTGCTCAAGAAGGCCGGGAAGAAGAGCTACACTTTAGTGGTCGGGAAACTGAACCCAGCCAAACTGGCCAACTTTGCTGAAGTTGATGTCTTTGTGCTGGTTTCTTGTCCAGAGAGCAGCATATTTGACCAATCAGAGTTTTACCGGCCCATTGTGAGCCCACTGGAGATGGAGATTGCCTGTAATCAAGCTAGGGAATGGACCAGTCAATATAGTTCAGACTTTACGGAATTGCTTCCAGGTTAGTTTTGATAGTGTTGACAATTTAAAAAACAACATTTTTTTCAAGGATGAAAATAAGTAACTTTTTTGGGTGAGCATAAAACATTTTGACTTTGTTGTAAATTCTAAATCTCATTTTGGTTTCAGTGAAAAGTTTTTGAGTACTTTTCTTTACTGTGTCATCACCTAATTAAAAGAAAAAATATTTCTTATGGCTGAATTTTATGTTTTTACATACCGGTACTATTTAAGGTCTACTTGACGATGGTAATGACAGTTAGGTTAAAAGATTTTTTTTTTTGGATTGAGCTAGCAACCTGCAGGATGAGTGGCAAAAATAAAAAGGTTCAATTTTTATACTTAATTTGAATCTCCTAGGTGTGTGGGGTGGGGGGAGGGGGGGAAATTGAATATTTTTTATAAAAAGAAAGTAAAAAAAAAAAATATATATATATATATATATATATATATTTATATATATATTTATATATAGATATAGATATATATATTATATATATATATATATATATATAAAATTTTTTTTCTCTCAGAGTATATATTAAAAAAAAAAAAAAAAAATAAAAAAAAAAAATATATATATATATATATATATATATATTTATATATATATTTATATATAGATATAGATATATATATTATATATATATATATATATATATATAAAATTCTTAGTCTCTCAGAGGATAGCTTAAAAAAAAATCTTATGTAGATAATAAAAAGCTGGCTAATTTAGCCTTAAAGACACCCCCCCGCCTCTCCTTTTTCAGAGTGCATTTAAAGCTTCTTTATAATTTTATCACTATGATGCAACAAAAATTTATTCAGCAGTCAGTAATTTTTATGCAGGGGTCCATTTAGCCCAGTGGTCGGCGAACTGGGTAAATTACCCCAAGTGGGGTAAAAGTGAAAATTTTTGGGGGTAATGAGGGCTCAGTAGACGTAAATTAAATTATATTTGTGGTATGTTTTTTTTAATGAAATATTTTTTTGTGGCGATATTGCACCTGGTCTGTATAAATAATAGCTTAAGGCGTTCAATAACTTGTGACTCGGCAGCTGGCGCTCAAGTTATTTTCGCCTATTTTATCTTATGCCTTGTAGCTTCACTTGAATTGGTTCCACTCAGTGTGGTTATGTGGTTATCTCATGGTGTCACCCCATCCAGACCTTCTCTGAGTCAGCCTCTCTTGTGGTACCTTACTCTTTTGTCAGGTGGTGCCCTGCAATTGTATTATTTATTTATTTATTTAGGCATTTTTTTATATATATCGCTTACCTTAAAGCTCTAAGCGCTTTACAATTATTAAAAACATGTAAACTAAAGTATCATCTCCCTGTGAGGATGTCCCAGGTATGGTCCACCCTCTGCCCACCCTTCTAGGGGCACTAATGCTTTTGTTCAAAATGTTAAGAGATGCAAAGGTTTTCAAAATAGTTTATGATGAGGGAGTCAAAAAGTTTCTGCCTTTTGCATCAACCTACATTTGTGAATTTTCCACTGAAAGGAACATAAAAATAAAGAATAGAAATAATTTATTTAACCCCAAATACAGTTTACAAATTGTCTCTGATTTAAAAAAAAATCACCAATTTTGATTTCATTGTATAAAAATAAAACATTTCTATAAAATTTGAACTGCACATTTGTTCAAAGAAATCATTTTGTTCCATGAGGACATTATTTTTCTCATTATAAGATTCTATATACCATTTTGAAATTAAAACGTCAGTTATTTTCTTCCTTTCTAATCAGGTTAAAATATTTGTGAAAGTATATATTTTGGGGTAATGGGGACACAAGTTTGCCGACCCCTGACTTAACCTCACCGTGGCTGAAAATTACTTTAGATTTTCCACCCATAGAAAATAGTTTAACTAAGGCTGCTCTCTTGTCTGGTACACTTTTTTCCTCAAACATAAGCTACTTATGAAAGCTTAATACTTATTATGAATTTTAAAATAAAAAATACCGTAGCATTTTCATTAAGTGTTGATTTTTATACCATAAAAAACCACAATAATTTTATCTTTTTCACCAGGTAGTTCTATGTATGTCCAGAGCCCTGATCAGTGTGACACAGATGACTGTAGGCCAGATGTGTCCCTCATAAGCAATAGAATCAGAACTCTAGGAGTAAAAGCTTCACCGGCTGTTAGTGAAAGTGCTTCCGATTCCAAGGACCTTGTTTTACGTTCTGACATGACGCTGGCATCAGGAGCAGCTGATGCAGGTTGGTCAAGTTAAATTTATTGGTCCTTAGATCTTCTGATATTCTACTTTTGAATGTCTTCAAATTATCTGGGTTTTGGTACCATAAATTCAGGTATTCCACAGATTTTAGAATTCCATCAAATATAAATTTTCTCTGAGTTTATAATTAAAAGGGATTACATTTCCACAATAATAATATCATTCGCTAAAGGAACATACAATTATTTGTGTTGTTTCAATATATAATTCAAATACCGGTACTATAATGTTTATTTGTTTTTAAAGAAATGTTCCAAAGTGAATTATGTTAACCCTTACAGTACCCAGCGCGTCTTTTTGCAGTGACCTAATTTTTCCCTGTGACCCAAGTGCGTCTTTTTTCACCAGCCGATCGTTTTCCCTGTGGCCCAAGCGGGTCTATTTGCCACATAAGAGGGGTATCTAATAAAAACACAGAAACGAGGATATAACCTTTCATCACAGTCTCGGGCAGAATGTTTATTCTTTAGGGGAATAGTCAAATTTTAATTTGACTTTTAAATTATGAAAATCGACCAATTACTGAGTTTTTTATGCTGATCTGTATTTGTTGTTTCCATGGCCCTCCCTAATCGGTATTGTTGATGATGACTTACGCCCACTTGATGAAACCTTTTGTTCTGAAATTATTATTGAGCTTTAATTGGGATTAGAAGTGGGTTTTTTTAACACTCTTATCCATTTCTGAACAGATAATTCTCTACATGTTATTATCAATTTTTTAAAACAATAAAGTTACAAAATAAATTAACAAACCTATCAAATTTTGACTCATTCCAAAATAATGTCTGGGCCACAGGGAATAATTAGCCAATTAATGGCCGGTACTGAGACAATAAAACCAAAAAGTAGGTCAGTACCGTAAGGGTTAACTATACCAAAATAAGAATTTAAAAAAAAAAAGTAAAAAAAAAAATTGAATTTGATTTATTGAGTTTGGGTGTGCATGTTTTTTTTTTAAAATGGGTGGTTGTCCCCATTGAAATAGTTTTATTAAAGAAAAATATCGAGCAGCGGATAGCATTAAACAGCAACATAAGTTATTTTAAGTTACTTTACAGGCCCTATGATTTAGCATTGAAGAAAATAGAAACTAATTCTTTTGTATGCGCGTATGTTGGATTTACTGGAAGATTTTAAGAATATTGTTGTGTAACATTTAATCTATCATGCGTTTGAACATTTTCAGGGGCTGGAAAGCTGAACAATTTTTTTTTACCTAACCCTAATTATAATGTATTTAATTAAATCCATAAGCATCTTTTGTTGATTGTGCCAACAGGAGAGTACCTGTCTTCCAGAAGCTGGAAAGGTCTGGAACAAAAACTTGGTGAAACCCCTGTGGGTAGAGCAGTAGAAGGCCAAAGTGGCATAGCAGCCAGTTATCAGAATGAAACCTCTCCATCCTGACACAGCAAACTGACATCATTTTCTGGTTGCTTGCTCTTAACATTTGCAAAGGTTTTATGTTATTATTATGTTGTTTTTGTTAAAATGTAGGTCTATACATTTCTTGAACATGAAAAAAATTAAAAGCATGATTATTTTATAAACGTCATTTGTTAAGGTTATTTATAATTTAGAAACATCAATGGAAGTTTATAAATATTTCCCATAAAAATTCCCTAACATTAATATAAAAATGAAGTCAACTCAATAACCATGTTATAAAAATATATTTAATAAAATTGATTTTTAAAAAAAAATATTGTACAAGGGACAAAATTTTCCTATAGAAATGTGGTTCTCAAACCTTGTAATGTAAATAGTTGCTAGGTGCAATTTGTAAGTTGTGGAGAAAAAAACTTTAAAAAACAAATTAATGTTTATTTTACAGTTTTTTTTAAAGTAAAAAAAAAAATCCTAATCAGAAAGTTGCATTATGACCCTGTAGAAATGAAAGTGATTGTGTTTAATACTTGCGTGAAAGTATTTCAACATATTCCATTAAAAGATCCAGAAGCAGAACTCAGTTCCGGTTAGTACGATAGATTTTTTTGTCTTGACTCTTATGTTATGCATTCAGTTATTTAATTTTGTTTTTAGCAACAGCCCATACTTGTCACTGACATTGTCAGTGTTTCTCAAACAAAAACCATCCTCCCTACTTTCACAACTGTTTCAATAATATCTGGGTAACTGAAAAAGAAATGTTTCAATATTCTGAGCAATGCGCCTTGAAGATGTTCGACAAAGGCTTAAAAAACACTGCTATTGACATTTTGATGTAAACAACACTGTCAGCTCACTTCAACGTTTGGGAAGAAACTGGACCAAGTTTGTTTTTTTCTCCTTTTTTTCTGATTTTTTCCCTATGTAGTGACCTTTGTCCTGCAATTTTTCTCCTGCGCTCGCACATTGCAAGACGTTTCTCACGTTTCACGCTCCCATCTTCATCACAGAAATCCTCCTTTGCTTAACATGTAGCAGAGTTCTCTGCTCTTCGTTCCCAACAGTTAAACCTTCTCAGAAGTCAGCAAACTCATCAATGTACTTGTCTGTTTTCATAATGGAGATGCTCTCCTCTTTGTTCTTCTCAAAGTTGGAAGTATCGGTTTCCGACTTGAGACTGGGAATCCAAGGGGCCTGGTAGGCCTTGGTCATGATTTTCCGGAAGTCGACCTCTTTATACCACAAATGGTTTATGATGTCAAAGGCGCCATCTTTGAGATTCCCGTACCGTTTGGTGACGTCTAGCTTTCAAGAGAGGAAACAATTTACAAACAAAATGTAGGTCAGGCTTAATATGATTGAAAGCTTGGAGTGAAATAAGCAGGTCATATAGGCCCATACCAGTGGTCGGCAAATCGGGACTCGCAAGCCCCATGCGGCTCTTTAGTGACCTGATTGTGGCTCGGCTAGTCAGCCACAAATCAGTTTTGACTCCGAAATACATTGTTCTCGACAGGTTCTTGAAAAGAAATTTGGTTCTCAAAAGAAGACTTAATCGTCCTGCTGCTGATTTTTGGCTCTTTTGACTAATGAGTTTGCCGACCACTGGCCTATACTATAACACATAGACTAATCAAGATTTAATATGTTTAGAAATTTAGTAGCATTTCTTTTGTTGACGTTTAGCTTAACATCTACTGATAACTTAAACTGTCTTTCCAGCTGGGTTGCAATGAAACTCTGAGAGGCTGCATGAAATATTTCTTAAAATTTCTCTGTGTCATAAAGAGTGAAACATAAAGTCACCTTTGTATCAATGATTAAATAAAATGGACAACCAATAATGGTATGTGCCTAGTTGGATAGTTTTGACAGTTTCACCAGAGATGCACTAATTTTTAAAAAAAACAAAAAAACAATAACTTATTTTTACTTCTTAAACCGTTGTACAATTTATGCTTGAAAAAAAATATTATTAACTATAAGGGTTCCAAGGACTGCTGAAGTTGAATGTCTAAAAACTTAAAACTAAAGCTCATGTAATTTAGGCTTATAATATTGTTCAATCTTTATGGTAATATAGAAAAACTGCCCTAACGACCTTATTGATGTAATTTGTGTCTAATCCAGAGTTTCTAAATCTGGTAGCTATGGTTAGTGCCGCCATTTTACGCCATCCTTCCAAGATAAAAACTCTGCCTTTGGCCGAAAATCCACACCCCCGAAAATCCACCCCCCCTCCCCAACCTTATACAAAAAAAAAACTTCAGGTGGACTGCACCCCCTTTCTACTCACTGTATAGAACAGCGGTTCTCAACCTCTGGGTCGCGAACCCCTTGGGGGTCGCTCAACCCTTTGCCAGGGGTCGCCTAAGACTATCGGAAAATACATTAACTCTACAGTTTTGAAATAGTATCGAAAATAATTTTTTGGTTGGGGGGTCGCCACAACATGAACTGTAAGTAAGGGTCGTGGCATTAGGAAGGTTGAGAACCACTAGTATAGAACTTTGGGGGAAAACAATTTATAAGTAAATTGGCATTCTCCTGTAGTAAATAAATCCATGCAGAAATCTCGCTTCTTTCTATTTAAAATGACATTATTGGTACCTATTTGTCCCATTTGGAATCTTTGAACACTTCACTTTGGTTTTTTCCTGGTGTCCAAATACCTTAGGGGCCCGATGCATTTACGTGTAAGACATTTCAGTTTGGCAGTGATTTCGAGGTATCCAAACATTATCTATTCTCTCTCTCTCTCTCTCTCTCTCTCTCTATATATATATATATATATATATATATATATATATATATATTATATATAAAAAACACAGAGAGACACCCCACCCCCCCCTTTTTTTCTTTTTCTAACAATAAAATATAAGTCCGAGACGCAAGCGTGTAATCCAGTAATGCCATTTAAACATGCATGGTTTGAGTATCTATTTGTAATCAAAATGCCGTTTTGCTGGGCAATGAAATGTCAGTGCCGTCACTACAGTGCAACGAAGTACCTGAATAAGTTTGGAAAGAAGATTTGACAGTTGGGGCTTGAAATGGCTGGGGTAGTTGACATTGCATTCTACAATCATCTCATACAGTCTTATGGGGGTCTTGTGATCAAAAGGCACGTAACCTGTAAGGGGGAAAGAAGATTACGTTCAAAAAGAAAGATTGGCCCATGGTTTCCAACTTTTTTTTACGGTTGCCTGGTGTCCACTATTTGAGCGGACAGTCAGCTTTTTTCACATTATGTTCACTATTTTTTTTCTTCACAAAATAAGGGACCAGGCCCGTTCTTAGGCATACGCTGACTACGCATCCGCGTAGGGCCCCGAACGTGAGGGGGGCCCCCGTGAGGCGCCCTCGATCCCCCGTTTTTTTTTTAACTGGCACTGCAGCCGTCTGTGTCACTCACGTTAACTTCCTCATCCTGAAATTTATCATTCTGAGTTGAATTCGGGCCCCACTACCACCTGCATGCCTGCATGTCCATATATTTCAGAAGTACACATTTTCTCTAGTGGCGGAATTATCAATAAGGTTAGTGGTTACACGCGAACAAAGAATAAACATTGGTGAAGGCAGCATGGAGGTGCCGCAGTGGTGGGTGGAGTTTTCTCCTCAGCTCGAGGGAGCTCCACCCCCCGGACCCACCCCCCTTCCGGGGCCCCCAACCTACGCTCCATGCTTAGGGCCCCCAAACTCCTAAGAACGGCTCTGAAGGGACATTTTTTTTTTAAAATTCAAAAGCTTTATGATGAAATAGTATGTAGTCTAATGCCTAACAGTCCAAGAGAATATGATAGGAGAATCGCGCCTTGTACCCCCCCCCAAATAAGTTAGATTGAGACAAAGATCGAATATCCATTGAACTCGATTCTTCGAAAAAATATTAATCATACTATTACTATGATACTCAATTGTTTCACAAGACATTTAATAAAAGTATATACAATTATTGACATACTATTTTTCTTAACTCGGATTTACCTATTATTTATTAAATCAAATGTTTTTCTCAGTTGGATAGGTATGTTTTGGAACACTCAATAATTTATCATCATTTGAGGTTCAATGAGTAGGTACTAGCCTCAATATTATATAGAGCGCGACCAAACCAAAGATTTCGTTGAAGCATTTTAAACATAAAAGTTTCTCATTGTTTTTATGTAAGTACTGTTTTGCTGTGTTCAAATTAAATCACCACGTCATGTAAGTATTTTTTTTTCTACTACTTTACACCCCCCCCCCCCACACACACACAAACCATTACCAGCTATTTTTTGGAATCGGACCTGGCACCCATACAGAGACCCTGCCACGTTTTAATATGTAATAATATGTAATATATATTTGGATTCAGTGGTGTTTAGAAGGAAAGGGGGGGGGGGGGGAATCTCCCATCATTCTAGAAACGGCATTCGGCTTTGACGTAACCATCTGAATCGCGACATAGTCTCCGTCAGCGTTAACTTTATACTTGTAGCCAGATTTTTAAGCCCTACCAGGCCCCCAAAACACGGTGACGTCCACCCAAGTTCAGATGCTTTGTGTTCAAAAAGCGATGTTCCTCCTGGGTTAACCACGCGACGTATAATTTGCATTGAACTCAAGATATGCGTTCATTTGTATCAGTCTTAAGTTTTAAAATAATGAGTTCTATTTTTTTGAAAACGTGACCTTTGAATCCTATAATTTTATGTGTATTACGACTAAAACGTGAGTTAAAATGTAAAATGTGTAAATATTTAATATATGTGTAAATATAAAGATTAGCTATCAAAGACGACTTGAAACGCATTTAAAAAAAAAAAAAAGAAAAGTAGAAAATAATATAACATTTCTTAAAGTCCATTTCATAACAATTATGTTACAAAGTTACCAAATTACACAACCTATGGATGTGTGAGTAGAAAGAAAGTCTTTACTAAAAAGGTCACTAGCCTGGTTACCACCGCGCTGAACTCGTGAGCACGGATAGAAATAATTAAAATGGCGCAAATCTCAAGTAACCGTTAATATTAACGGGTATTTAAATTCACTAATTTTAAAGCTATTTTTTTTTTTTTAAATTCAAAAGTCGGCTCGTGTTTTCGTTGCGATACATATACAGTTTCTCTGCGATACATATACAGTTTCTCTGCGATACATATACAGTT